CTCTTTGCATGTGCGTCTTAACAATAATTATGACCGTATTCTCCAATACCATTATGTCAGTCACTATATTATTATTATAAGGAAGGCTAAAACACTTCTTTTAAAATGCCAGTGCTCTAAATAGACATTGCCACATGAACTTTTAATTCGAGTTGTAGGGAATTAGCTCAAGTGGTAGAGCGCGCGCTTAGCATGTGCGAGGTAACGGGATGGATCTCCGCAATCTCTAATTTCATTATGTCAATCGCTATATTAATATAATAAAGAAGCTTAATTAACTTTTTAATAAATGATAGTGTTCTCCACAAACATTGCTCCCTGAACTTTTACATGCTTTGTAGGGGAATTAGTTCAAATGTTTGAGCGCTCTTTGCATGTGCGACTTATCAATAATGATGACCGTATTCTCCAATACCATTATGTCAGTCACTATATTATTGTAATAAGGAAAGCTGACACACGTCTTTTAAAATGCCAGTGCTCTAAATAGACATTGCCAGCCGAACTTTAAATTCGAGTTGTAGGGGAATTAGCTCAAGTGGTAGAGCGCGCGCTTAGCATGTGCGAGGTAACAGGATCGATGCCCGTATTCTCCAATATCATTATGTCAATCACTATATTAAAATAATGAAGAAGGCTAATTAACTTCTTAATAAATGCTAGTGTTCTCCATAAACAATGCTCCATGAACTTTTATTTCCTTGGTAGGGAATTAGCTAAAATTTTAGAACGCGCGCTTTGCATGTGCGAATTAACGATAATGATGCACGTATTCTGCAATATCATTATGTCAGTCACTATATTATTATTATAAGGAAGGCTAAAACACTTCTTTTGAAATGCAGTGTTCTAAATAGACATTGCCACCTAAACTTTTAATTTGAGTTGTAGGGAATTAGCTCATGTGTTAAAGCAAGGGGTTTTCATGTGCAAGGTAACAGGATTAATGAGAGTTTTCTCTAACGCCATTATGTCAATCACAATATTATAACTATGAAAAAGGCTAAAATACTTTTTAATAAATGCCGGTGTTCACCATAAACATTGCCACCTGAACTTTTAGCGTTGTAGGGAATTAGATCAAGGGGTAGAGCGCGCTCTTTGCATGTGCGAGATAAGGGGAATGATGCCCGTATTCTCCAAAATCATTATGTCAATCACCATTTTATATAATAAGTAAGGCTAAAACACTTTTTTTAAAATGCCAGTGTTCTCCTTAAACAATAACACCCGAACTTTTAACTGGAGATGTAGAGGACTTCTGTAAAATGCCAGTGCTTTGAATAGACATTGCCACCCGAAATTTAAATGCGAGTTGTAGGGGAATTAGCTCGAGTGGTAGAGCGCGCGTTAGCATGTGCGAGGTAACGGGATCGATGCCCGTATTCTTCAATATCATTATGTCAATCAATATATTAATAAAATGAAGAAGGTTAATTAACCTTTTAATAAATGATATTGTTCTCCATGAAAAATGCTACCTAAACTCTTATATGCTTTGTAGGGGAATTAGTTCAAATGTTTGGGCGCTCTTTGCATGTGCGACTTAACGATAATGATGACCGTATTCTCCAATACCATTATGGCAGTCATTATTCTAATATAATGAAGAAGGCTAATTAACTTTATAATAACTGGTAATGTTCTCATAAACAATGCTACCTGAACTTTTATATGCTTTGTAGGGGAATTAGTTCAAATGTTTGAGCGCTATTTCGATGTGCTACTTAACGGTAAAGATGACCGTATTCTCCAATACCATTATGCCAGTCACTATATTATTATTATAAGGAAGGCTAAAACACTTCTTTTGAAATGCCAGTTTTCTAAATAGACATTGCCACCTAAACTTTTAATTCGAGTTGTATGGGAATTAGCTCAAGTGGTAGAGCGCGAGTTTTGCATGTGCGACTTAACGATAGTAATGACCGTATTCATTAATATCGTTATGTCAATCATTATATTAATATAATGGAGAAGGCTAATTAACTTTATAATAACGGGTAGTGTTTTATTAAACAATGCTACTTAAACGTTTATATGATTTGTAGGGGAATTAGTTCAAATATTTGAGCGATATTTGCATGTGCGACTTAACGATAATGATGACCGTATTCCCCAATACCATTATGGCAGTCATTATTCTAATATAATGAAGAAGGCTAATTAACTTTAAAATAACTGGTAATGTTCTCATAAACAATGCTACTTGAACTTTTAAATGTTTTGTAGGGGAATTAGTTCAAATGTTTGAGCGCTCTTTGCATGTGTGACCTAACGATAATGATGCCCGTATTCTCCAATATCATTATGTCAATCCATATATTAATTAAATTGAAGAAGGCTAATTAACTTTTTAATAAATGATAGTGTTCTCCATAAACATTGCTCCCTGAACTTTTATATGCTTTGTAGGGGAATTAGTTCAAATGTTTGAGCGCTATTTGCATGTGCGACTTAGTGAAAATAATGAAAGTATTCTCCAATACCATTATGTCAGTCACTATATTATTATAATAAGGAAGGCTAAAACACTTCTTTTAAAATGCCAGTGCTCTAAATAGACATTGCCACCTGAACTTTTAATTCGAGTTGTAGGGAATTAGCTCAAGTGGTAGAGCGCGCTTAGCTGTGCGAGGTAACGGGATCGATGCCCGTATTCTCCAATACCATTATGTCAATCCATATATTAATAAAATGAAGAAGGCTAATTAACTTTTTAATAAATGATAGTGTTCTCCACAAACATTGCTCCCTGAACTTTTTTATGCTTTGTAGGGGAATTAGTTCAAATGTTTGAGCGCTCTTTGCATGTGCGACTTAACGATAATGAAGACCATATTCTCTAATACCATTATGGCAGTGAGTATATTGTTATTATAAGGAAGATAAAACGCTTCTTTTAAAATGTCAATGTTGTAAATAGACATTGCCACCTGAACTTAATTTCGAGTTGTAGTGGAATTAGCTCAAGTGGTAGAGCGCGCGCTTTGCATGAACGAGGTTAACGGGATCGATGCCCGTATTCTAAAATTTCATTATGAAGAAGGTTGATTAACATAATGAATATAATCGCTATATTATTATAATGAAGAAGATTAATTAACTTTTTAATAAATGATAGTGTTCTCCATATATAATGCTACATAAACTTTTATATGCTTTGTAGGTGAATTGATTCAAATGTTTGAGCGCTCTTTGCATGTGCGACTTAACGATAATGATGAAAGTATTCTCCAAAACCATTACGTCAGTCCCTACATTATTATAAGGAAGGCTAAAACACTTCTTTTAAAATGCCAGTGCTCTAAATAGACATTGCCACCTGAATTTTAATTCGAGTTGTAGGGGAATTAGCTCAAGGGTAGAACGCGCGCTTCGCATGTGCGAGGTAACGGGATCGATGCCCGTATTCTCCAATATCATTATGTCAATCAATATATTAATAAAATGAAGAAGGCTAATTAACTTTTTAATAAATGATAGTGTTCTCCAGAAACATTGCTCCATGAACATTTATATGCTTTGTAGGGGAATTAGCTCAAGTGGTAGAGCGCGCGCTTTGCATGTGCGAGGTAATGGGATCGATGCCCGTATTCTCCAATTTCATATGAAGAAGGTTGATTAATATAATGAATATAATCGATATATTATTATAATGAAGAAGATTAATTAACTTTTTAATAAATGATAGTGTTCTCCATATACAATGCTACATAAATTTTTATATGCTTTGTAGGTGAATTGATTCAAATGTTTGAGCGCTCTTTGCATGTGCGACTTAAAGATAATGATGAAAGTATTCTCCAAAACCATTATGTCAATCACTATATTATATTATAAGGAAGGCTAAAACACTTTTTTAAAATGCCAGTGTTCTCCTGAAACATGCCACCTGAACTTTTAACTGGAGTTGTAGGAGAATTAGCTCAAAATGTAGAGGCAACGGGATTGAAGTCCGTATTCTCCAATTTCATTATGAATAAGGTTGATAAATATAATGAATATAATCACTATATTATTTTAATGAAGAAGATTAAATAACTTTTTATTAAATCATAGTGTTCTCCATATACAATGCTACCTAAACTTTTATATGCTTTGTAGGTGAATTGATTCAAATGTTTGAGCGCTCTATGCATGTGCGACTTAACGATAATGATGAAAGTATTCTCCAAAACCATTAGGTCAGTCACTACATTATCATTATAAGGAAGGCTAAAAAATTTCTTTTAAAATGCCACTGCTCTAAATAGACATTGCCACCGAAACTTTAAATGCGAGTTGTAGGGGAATTAGCTCAAATGGTAGAGCGCGCGCTTAGCATGTGCGAGGTAACTGGATCGATGCCCGTATTCTCCAATATCATTATGTCAATTAATATATTGATAAAATGAAGAAGGCTAATTAACTTTTTAATAAATGATAGTGTTCTCCAGAAACATTGCTCCATGAACATTTATATGCTTTGTAGGGGAATTAGTTCAAGTATTTGAGCGCTCTTTGCATGTGCGACATAACGATAATGATGCCCGTAATCTTTAATATCATTTTGTCAATCGCTATATTAATATAATAAAGAAGGTTAATTAACTTTTTAATAAATGATAGTGTTCTCTATAGACAATGCTACCTAAACTTTTATATGCTTTGTAGGGAATTAGTTCAAATGTTTGAGCGCTCTTTGCATGTGCGTATTCTCCAATACCATTATGCCAGTCACTATATTATTATTGTAAGGAAGGCTGAAACACTTCTTTTAAAATGCCACTGCTCTGAATAGACATTGCCACCTGAACTTTAGTTCGATTTGTAGAGGAATTAGCTCAAGGGTAGAGCGCGCGCTTCGCATGTGGGAGGTAACGGGATCGATGCCCGTATTCTCCAATATCATTATGTCAATCAATATATTAATAAAATGAAGAAGGCTAATTAACTTTTAATAAATGATAGTGTTCTCCATAAACATTGCCATGAACTTTTATATGCCTTGTAGGGGAATTAGCTCAAGTGGTAGAGCGCGCGCTTTGCATGTGCGAGGTAATGGGATCGATGCCCGTATTCTCCAATTTCATATAAAGAAGGTTGATTAACATAATGAATATAATCGCTATATTATTATAATGAATAAGATTAATTAACTTTTTAATAAATGATAGTGTTCTCCATATACAATGCTACATAAACTTTTATATGCTTTGTAGGTGAATTGATTCAAATGTTTGAGCCCTCTATGCATGTGCGACTTAACGATAATGATGAAAGTATTCTCCAAAACAATTAGGTCAATCACTATATTATATTATAAGTAAGGCTAAAACACTTTTCTTAAAATGCCAGTGTTCTCCTGAAACGATGCCACCTGAAGTTTTAACTGGAGATGTAGGAGACTTAGCTCAAAATGTAGAGGCAACGGGATTGAAGTCCGTATTCTCCAATTTCATTATGAATAAGGTTGATAAATATAATGAATATAATCACTATATTATTTTAATGAAGAAAATTAAATAACTTTTTAATAAATGATAGTGTTCTCCATATATAATGCTACCTAAACTTTTATATGTTTGTAGGTGAATTGATTCAAATGTTTGAGCGCTCTTTCATGTGCGACTTAACGATAATGATGAAAGTATTCTCCAAAACCATTAGGTCAGTCGTTACATTATTATTATAAGGAAGGCTAAAAGATTTCTTTTAAAATGCCAGTGCTCTAAATAGACATTGCCACCTGAATTTTAATTCGAGTTGTAGGGGAATTAGCTCAAGGGTAGAGCGCGCGCTTCGCATGTGCGAGGTAACGGGATCGATGCCCGTATTCTCCAATATCATTATGTCAATCAATATATTAATAAAATGAAGAAGGCTAATTAACTTTTTAATAAATGATAGTGTTCTCCAGAAACATTGCTCCCTGAACTTTTATTTGCTTCCAAGGGAATTAGCTAATGATTTAGAACGCGCTCTTTGCATATGCGACTTAACGATAATGATGACCCTGTTCTCCAATAACATTATGGCAGTGACTATATTATTATTATAAGCAAGGTAAATCACATCTTTTCAAATGTCAATGTTCTAAATAGACATTGCCGTCTGAACTTAAATTCGAGTTGTAAAGGAATTAGCTCATGTGGTAGAGCGCGCGCTTTGCATGTGCGAGGTGATGGGATCGATGCCCGTATTCTCCAATTTCATTATGAAGAAGGTTGATTAATATAATGATTATAATCGCTATATTATTATAATGAAGAAGATTAATTAACTTTTTAATAAATACCTGTGTTCTACTTAAACATTCTACCTTTTATTTGAATGATAGATTGAACACTCTACATTTTATTTGCGTTGTAGGGGAATTTGCTCAATTGTTAGAAAAAGTGATTTTAATGTGCGAGGTAAAAGGATTAATGAGCGTTTTCTCCAACGTCATTATGTCAATCACCATATTATAACTATGAAGAAGGCTAAAATACTTTTTAATAATTGCATGTGTTCTCCATAAACATTGCAACCTGAACATTTTTTTGTGTTGTATGGGAATTAGCTCATTTGTTAGAGCAAGCGGATTTCATGTTAGAGGCAACGGGATTTATAACCGTTTTCTCCGACGCCATAAAGTAGACACAATTTCAATTTCATGAAGAAAGCTAAAACACTTTTTCACAATGTCGGCGTTTTCCAAAATATTGCAACCTATTTGTTTATTTGTGTTGTATGGGAATTTTCTCAAGTGTTAGAGAAGCGATTTTCATGTGGGAGGTAACAAGATTAATTAGAGTTTATGTCAATTACCATTTATGCCATTATGTCAATCACCATATTATAACTATGAAAAAGGCTAAAATACATTTCTAGAAATTTCAGTGTTCTCAATAACCATTGCCAAGTAAATTTTAATTTGTGTTGTATGGGAATTAGCTCTAGTGGTAGAGCAAGCGCTCTTCATATTAGAGGCGACGAGATTGATGCCTGTTTTCTCCCTCGCCATTAAAGTAGACACCATTTTAATTTCATAAAGAAGGCTAAAATAATATTTTCGAAAAGTCGGTGTTCTCCAAAACAATGCAACCCGAATGTTTATTTGTGTTGTATGGGAATTAGCTAAAGTGGTAGAGCAAGCGGTTTTCACGTTAGAGGCAACGGGATTGATGCCCGTATTCTCCAATATCATTATGTCAATCACAATATTACTATGATGAAGAAGGCTAAATAACTTTCTAATAACTACTAGTGTTCTCCCCAAACAATGCTACCTGAACTTTTATTTGCTTTGTAGAAAATTAGCTCAAATATAAGAGCGCGCCCTTTGCATGTGCGATTTAACGGGAATGATGCACGTATTCTCCAATATCATTATGTCAATCACTATATTAATATTATGAGAAAGGCAAAAATTTTTTTTTAAAATGCCTGTGTTCTTTATGAACATTGCCACCTAAACTTTCTTCAGCATTGCAGGGGAATTATCTCAAATGGGAGAGCGCGCGCTTTGCATGTGCGAGGTTACCGGATCGATGCCCGTATTCTCCAATTTCATTATGTCAATCGCTATATTAATATAATGAAGAAGGTAAATTAACTTTTTAATAAATACCTGTGTTCTACTTAAACATTCTACCTGAAATTTTATTTGCGTTGTAGGAGAATTTGCTCAATTGTTAGAAAAAGTGATTTTAATGTGCGAGGTAAAAGGATTAATGAGCGTTTTCTCCAACGTCATTATGTAAATCACCATATTATAACTATGAAGAAGGCAAAAATACTTTTTAATAAATGCATGTGTTCTCCATAAACATTGTCACTTAAACTGTAATTTGCATCGTACGGGAATTAGCTGAAGTAATAGAGCGCGTGCTTAGCATGTGCGAGGTAACGGTATCGATGCCCATATTCTCCAATATCATTATGTCAATCGCTATATTAATAAAATGAAGAAGGCTAATTAACTTTTTAATAAATGATAGTGTTCTCCATATATAATGCTACCTAAACTTTTATATGCTTTGTAGGTGATTTGATTCAAATGTTTGAGCGCTCTTTGCATGTGCGACTTAACGATAATGATGAAAGTCTTCTCCAAACCCATTAGGTCAGTCACTATATTATTATTATAAGGAAGGCTAAAACATTTCTTTTAAAATGCCAGTGTTCTAAATAGACATTGCCACCTGAACTTTTATTTCGAGTTGTAGGGAAATTAGCTCAAGTGGTAGAGCGCGCGCTTTGCATGTGCGAGGTAACTGAATCAATCTCCGTAATCTCTAATTTCATTTTGTCAATCGCTATATTAATATAATAAAGAAGGTTAATTAACTTTTTAATAAATGACAGTGTTCTTCACAAACAATGCTACTTGAACTTTTATATGCTTTGTAGGGGAATTAGTTCAAATATTTGAGCGCTCTTTGCATGTGCGTCTTAACAATAATTATGACCGTAATCTCCAATACCATTATGTCAGTCACTATATTATTATAATAAGGAAGGCTAAAACACTTCTTTTAAAATGCCAGTGCTCTAAATAGACATTGCCACCTGAACTTTTAATTCGAGTTGTAGGGGAATTAGCTCAAGTGGTAGAGCGCGCGCTTAGCATGTGCGAGGTAACGGGATCGATGCCCGTATTCTCCAATACCATTATGTCAATCAATATATTAATAAAATGAAGAAGGCTAATTAACTTTTTAATAAATGATAGTGTCCTCCACAAACATTGCTCCCTGAACTTTTTATGCTTTGTAGGGGAATTAGTTCAAATGTTTGAGCGCTCTTTGCATGTGCGACTTAACGATAATGAAGACCGTATTCTCCAATACCATTATGGCAGTGACTATATTATTATTATAAGGAAGGTAAAACACTTCTTTTAAAATGTCAATGTTGTAAATAGACATTGCCACCTGAACTTAATTTCGAGTTGTAGTGGAATTAGCTCAAGTGGTAGAGCGCGCGATTTGCATGAACGAGGTAACGGGATCGATGCCCGTATTCTCAAATTTCATTTTGAAGAAGGTTGATTAACATAATGAATATAATCGCTATATTATTATAATGAAGAAGATTAATTAACATTTTAATAAATGATAGTGTTCTCCATATATAATGCTACATAAACTTTTATATGCTTTGTAGGTGAATTGATTCAAATGTTTGAGCGCTCTTTGCATGTGTGACTTAACGATAATGATGAAAGTATTCTCCAAAACCATTATGTCAGTCACTATATTATTACTATAAGGAAGGCTAAAACACTTCTATTGAAATGCAGTGTTCTAAATAGACATTGCCACCTAAACTTTTAATTTGAGTTGTAGGGAATTAGCTCAAGTGTTAGAGCCAGCGGTTTTCATGTGGAAGGTAACAGGATTAATGAGAGTTTTCTCTAACGCCATTATGTCAATCACAATATTATAACTATGAAAAAGGCTAAAATACTTTTTAATAAATGCCGGTGTTCACCATAAACATTGCCACCTGAACTTTTAGCGTTGTAGGGAATTAGATCAAGGGGTAGAGCGCGCTCTTTGCATGTGCGAGATAAGGGGAATGATGCCCGTATTTTCCAAAATCATTATGTCAATCACTATTTTATATTATAAGTAAGGCTAAAACACTTTTTTTAAAATGTCAGTGTTCTCCTTAAACGATGCCACCTGAACTTTTAACTGGAGATGTAGAGGACTTCTGTAAAATGCCAGTGCTTTGAATAGACATTGCCACCCGAACTTTCAATTCGAGTTGTAGGGGAATTAGCTCAAGTGGTAGAGCGCGCGCTTAGCATGTGCGAGGTAACGGGATCAATGCCCGTATTCTCCAATATCATTATGTCAATCAATATATTAATAAAATGAAGAAGGCTAATTAACTTTTTAATAAATGATAGTGTTCTCCAGAAACATTGCTCCCTGAACATTTATATGCTTTGTAGGGGAATTAGTTCAAATATTTGAGCGCTCTTTGCATGTGCGACTTAACGATAATGATGAAAGTATTCTCCAAAACCATTAGGTCAGTCACTACATTATTATTATAAGGAAGGCTAAAACATTTCTTTTGAGATGCCAGTGTTCTAAATAGACATTGCCACCTGAACTTTAATTTGAGTTGTAGGGGAATTGGCTAAAGTGGTAGAGCGCGCGCTTAGCATGTGCGAGGTAACGGGATTGATGCCCGTATTCTCCAATACCATTATGTCAATCAATATATTAATCATATGAAGAAGGTTAATTAACTTTTTAATAAATGATAGTGTTCTCTATAAACAATGCTACCTAAACTTTTATATGTTTTGTAGGGAATTAGTTCAAATGTTTGAGCGCTCTCAGCATGTGCGACTTAACGATAATGATGACCGTATTCTCCAATAACATTATGTCAATCAATATATTAATAATATGAAGAAGGCTAAAACACTTTTAAATAAATGCCAGTGTTCTCAATCATCATTGCCACCTGAATTTTAATTTGTGTTGCATGGGAATTTGCTCAAGTGTTAGAGAAAGCGGTTTTCATGTGCGAGGTAAGGTATTAATGAGCGTTTTCTCCAACGCCATTACATCAATCACCATATTATAACCATGAGAAGGATAAAACGCATTTTTTTAAAATGTCAGTGTTCTCCATAACCATTGTCAACTGAACTTTCGTTTGTTTTGTATGGGAATTACCTCAAGTGATAGAGCGCGCAATTTGCATGTGCTAGGTAACGGGATCGATGCCCGTATTCTCCAATATCATTATGTCAATTATTATTATAATAATATGAAGAAAGGTAAAACAGTTTTAAATAAATGCCAGTGTTCTCCATAACCATTGCCAACTGAACTTTTGTTTAAGTTGTGTGGGAATTAGCTCAAGTGGTAGAGCAAGCGGTTTTCATGTTAGAGGCAACGGGATTGATGCCCGTTTTCTCCAAGCCATTAATGTAGACACTATTTCAAATGCATGAAAAAGGCTAAAACTCTTTTTTCAAAATGTCGGTGTTCTCAAAAACATTGCAACCTGAATGTTTATTAGTGTTGTAGTGGAATTAGCTCAAGTTGTAGAGCGTATGCTTAGCATGTGCGAGGTAACAGGATTGATGCCCTTACTGTCCAATGGCATTATGTCAATTACTACCTAAATATAATGAAGAAGGCTAAATGATTTTTTCAATAAATGCCTGTCTTCTACTTAAACATTGCACCTGAACTTTTATTAGCGTTGTAGGGAATTAGCTCAAGTGTTAGAGCAAGCGGTTTTCATGTGCAAGTTATTAGGACTAGTGAGCGTTTTCTCCAACGCCATTACGTCAATCACCATATTATAACTATGAAGAAGGCTAAAATACTTTTTAATAAATGCCTGTGTTCTCCATAAACATTGCCACTTGAACTATTTTTTGCGTTGTGGGGAATTAACTCAAGTGAGAGAGCGCGCTTTGCATGTGCGAGGTAACAGGATTAATGAGCGTTTTCTCCAACGCAATTATGTCAATCACCATATTATAACTATGAAGAAGGCTAAATTATTTTTTAATAAATGCCAGTGTTCTATATAATCATTGCCACCTGAACACTTATTTGTGCGGTAGGGGAATTAACTGATAAGTGATAGAGGGGCCAAGCAGACGTTTACTCCTCATTTGACTCTGACGACTGCCTCTAAGGTTGTCGAAACATCAGTCAACACAAACAACAACAGTCCTTCTCAGGACTCAACTAACCTGGACGATCTACATCGACAAACATGTGATTATGTCCATCTGTCAACTTTTAACAGTTGCAAGGCTAAAACAGTTTTCTACAAATGCCTATTTTCTCAATAAACATTGCCAACGGAATTTTTAATTTGTATTGTTAGGGATTTAGCTTAAACGAGAGAGAAAACCCTATTGCATAAAATTTAGCAAGGGATGGAATCCCAGTGTTTCCAGGATCAGACTGGTTGTAGCAGAAGGCGATATTTGACCTAGGTCTAGAATCCTATAATTATATACTTGAGGTAAGATTTATTTTCTTTTTTTTGGTTTTGTTTTGTTTTGAAATTATCAGCCAACTTTTCATTGTAATTTTACGTGAATTTGAAGTTTTCCGAAGTAAAATAACTAGCAAAATTTTTTATTGTTTCCTTTGCCGCCATTTTAAATCGAGCTTCACAATCTAATAGAGATTGTTGTCTTCAGTGAAAAATTAAAAACGTTATTTACAGCTTTGGTCGGCCCGGATAGTAAAATACTTCCCCTCAGTTTCAAAATATTTTTCTACCGGGATCTCCGAGCCGGTAAATAACACATAGATAATTTTACGATTTATGTTTTATTACTATATTTTTCCAAAAACACGATTGAAGTAAAATAAAAAAATTATACACTAACATTAAACATATTATAACGAAAGAAGTTTAGCTTAAATAGGAGACTGCGTGCTTCGCATGCACGAGGTGATGGGATCGATGCTCACTTTCTCTAGTACCGTCGCAACCTTAAAGTTTCATATTAAAAGAAAGCAACAATTCTTAGAGTTTCAGTGGTGGACAAGACTATATTGTCATATGACATGTTTTGACAACAAGACGTATTACAACTTAAACAGTGAACTAACATAGACGACCACAGGCGGAGTAAATTTTACGCATTAATATTGCAAAATATAAGTAAACCAGCATAAAATACCAGAGTATTTTTACTACAAAAGTCGTCCACGGCAAATCGCTGATCCGCATAGACAATAGAGGGATTTATTGCTGACGCTGCCAACTTCGTACATGTAATCCCAGGTAAGTTCTGAGCCAGCTTTGATATTTCTATATAAACAAAAAGTAGAAGTGTTAAGAATTAAAACTGGACGTTTCGTCAGGGCTGTAGTACTATCGCTAATTAGAGGAGGGGATGAAATTCGTATATGCACCTTATGCTGTTTTAAGTTCTTTTGACACCACTGATCGCGAAACAAGACTGGATCAAGCAACTCTATACAAATTTTGAAGCCACCGATTTGGCATTTTAGTTTTGACATTTTAAAAGAAATACATGTTTGTAGATGCAGATCGTCCATGTTAGTAGAGTCCTGAGAAGGACTGTTGATGTTTACTGACGTTTCGACAACCTTAGCGGTAGACATGTTCCTGGTCAAAGTAATATGAAGTTTCATGCAGTGTTTGTTTTTCTTCTGAGTAAAAGAAATATAAAGTTTTAGTGTTGTTTTTCCTTATAGTTTACCTGTTTACACTAGGAGAAAGTCTAGAATATTTTTACCACAAAGCGGTCATTTTTAGCGGAAATATGTTCATTGGCCGCTATTTTTTGGCATCATCGCCTTAGTCCACTTAGTCGCTCCACTTATTATCGAACTCAATGATTATCTCACACTCGAACTATTTGTGAGGAAACAGTTGAAGTTCTTAACTCTCACGTGACACACCAATAAAACGGGAACTTCGACAGTTATCATAAATTAAAAAAATTCTTCCTTCCTTGAAGAAAGTCCGTACGTACGTTTGTGCAAAGAAAGCGACCCAAGGAAAGCGAACGTCATGTGTGTCCACGAACACATTTTGCACGAACAAATTTGGCGAACAGGAATGCTACAAGAATAACGACATTCTGTCAATGATGAAAACTAAACAACCATGGGCACATTATTATTAAATAAGTATTAAATGATAATTAGTAAATGTCGTATTTACTCTATATGCCCGACGGTAGCTAATATTTTCGCTGCCTTTTAAGGGCGTGAGGGGATTATTAGAATTTGGGGACGCTTAAATATCATTTTCTTTTAGTACATCTTTTCTTTTTAGTACAGGAAACTCATGAAGATTTCGAACAAAAATGATTGCTAATTTTTGTTTCATGCGGGGGGTAAATAACCTCTTCGACAACGTGCAAATTTATATGCAGAAGAAACAAGTGTATTTTGTACCCAGTTGTTTTCCAATTCGCCGAAAATAGGGTGAATACATAGGGTTAAGCGGGGGGTTATTTTCGGCGATTTTGCTATTTTTTATATGAAGGACTATAGCATAACTAACTATATCAATGGATGTTACTACACGTACTTACATTGAGAAACCTCCCGCAGTTACCAAACGTTGCATCAATGACGTAACAATGTTCCTCTCCAAAAAGTGAACGCGTTTTCAGAAGCTTCGCAGTCGGCGCTTCGCTTACGAAATCCGTTTTCAACCGTGGATCTAAAAACAGAATCAGAGAAAAGATCACATCACGTTGAATGTTATGGATGAAAAATGTCCACAAGTTTTTCCAATCACGTCAGACTAGGTGGCATGGGCAAAATAAAGCTAAAAACGATTTGTGATTACGTCACGACAAAACTGGCTATAACTAGCGTTAAGCCCGTATAACATGAATTTCATACGACGTTTGTCCGAAGACGTTAAGTACAACTTCTGACATAAATGCATCATTATCAAATACAAACAAGACGAAGCTAATATCGGCAATTGAGTCATACAATTTACAGAACATTTACCAAGAATAAATTGATCATTTTGACAAAGAATTGTAAAGAGTTGCGAAAGGAAGAAAACGGCAAGGGTATTTATAAAATAAAAACAATAAAACGCTTGCATTGATCGGTCTAGAGCAGTGTTTGCAATAGCCTGTGCAAAAGAGATCTGAGCTCAACCAATCATATCAATCAAATCAATCAATCAAGGAGAATTTGCAAATTGGTCATGAATACATTTTAGAGGAAAACTTAAAACGTTTCTTTTGCACAGGCCTATGCAAACCTCGGAGACGTTTATGAGAATTCTCAAGCAGGTGCAACTCTCGACTTTCGGTCTCGGCCTTGCACTGATCAGCTCTTGAAATCTCCCAAAGTTCTCCTCGGTTTGCATAAGCCTGTAAAAAGACAGTAAACATCTTTTATTTCTTAAATATACAAATGCACGACGCAAACTGTGAAAACCGTAAATACACTTTGACCTGTTCTAAGAAAATCGTTAAGGACATAAGCTTAGTTTCCATTTAGCCTTTCGACATGAACCATTTCTCATGATAACTTTTCGTTACAATAGCACATGTACAGTAGCAGCAAATTCATCATTACTCGGCAAATTTAAAAGTAGTATAATAAAGCATGATTTACTTACATGATATATTGCCGCGAACTTCGTGGTGCAATATAGCAACTACTATAACATGCAAATATAACCAACACTGTTCTCGAGTAGCCCGAATGAACGCCTGATAGGCGTCAAGACGCCAGAACAGTTGAAACATAAAAACTACAAACAACTATAAATATGCTTGCAATTTTCATTTATTTCATATAAAAACAATGAATGTATCAACCAGAAGTTGTATATTAAAGAAACCACAATTACGCAGCTGTACAAGTACTTACGTTTTAAAGATGAGCAACCGCGTTTCTCACTGTCGTATGTTTCACTGTTAGACTTGATAGTGCTTGTCAGCTCAAAAGAAGGAGAACTACTACGGCTCGACGCAGACTGGGTACGAGAACTGGAGTTACACGAGGTGGTACTTTCGGATTCATCATTATCCTTTACTTTATCAACATAATAAGCATCTTCACTATCGGCAACAAACTCTGAACGTTCGAGAAGTGGTTCTTTGGGCTCGACGCGCATTTTTAGTTTTTCGATCGTCTCTTGGAGAACGGTGCCGCGTTTGGTAAGAACTGGTGGTTCCAGGCTTTTTGGTTGATAAGCAGCCAGTCGTTGCAGATCATTGGCAGAGAGAAGCTTTGGGACATTCGTATTTGCGCATTCAGTACTGGCTTCTTTACTAGCAGAATCGTATTTTAAAGACGTTGCATTGCTATTAACTAAAGTAAAACATATTTCATTTAAGAGTGAAAAATAGTTCTTGCACGAGAGACAAACTTTCTACGTAGACATTATTTTACAATCTTCTTACTTAGATTAAACGAAAGCTTTCTAAAAATTCAAAACATTAAGGAAGCAGCAATTTACGTACATCTATGAATGTAGTTGCCATTTGCAACTTTATTTGCACTATTTGATTTCAGTGAACAGAGTTAGATTTGAGGACGCAAAGTATTAGACGACGTAAATATGGCGTAAACAGTCGTAAACATCCGGTTGTTTTATTTCCGCCGCCATTGCGACGTTGTCGTGTCTTTTACGACATGAAACTTGCTGTTTTCACGTCCTCTTGAAGACGTCTGTGTTTTCTACTTTTTTCTCGCTTTAAACTGTAAGTCTATGGAAATTGTGACTTGTGTGTTTTGATAGTTTAGTATTGAAGAAATTCATTTAAAACATGTGTGTTATTGCTTTCAAATTTACCAAAATAATAAGATGCGTAATGTCTGCATGTTTTGTTGTTCATGTAAACGATCAACAAGACAAATAACTTCGTTTTTATTGTGCTCTAAATAAATTCTCCTTTGTATTTTTTGCTATGTAGACTAAAACGCAAAATGACTCAATAAAATCGTATAAAAGATGAAATTCTTTCTTCGTAAAAACTCGTTGTCTTCTCATATAATCTAAATCGCTCTTCACATGAAAGACGACTACGTCGTCGACCCAGACCGCCTCGGCCAGCTCACGTCGTCTATCTAATCATTAGATTCTAATGAGTAACTAGACGCCACTCGTACAGAGCACTGGCGTACACATGTGCTCAGATAATTTAGCAATTTTCGTGGCCCTGATTCAAACATGCGGGAATGCGGCGAAACACGAGCTATAGGCGATAGATTATAACGTTTATTTCAACTCGAGCAGCATTCACAAATGTTTGGATTAGGAAATGAACACTCGAAAACCAATACGAAGACGTTTTATAAAATAATATAATTAAAAGTGTTAATTAAATGAGCGGAAGTATGAAAGTTAAGCTCTCCCAAGCAAATTATAATGTAAACAACGAAGTCAACGATATTTCTTGCTTTCGTAGAGGAATTCAAAAGTATGTATTTAGCCAAGCATTATATTGCAGCGTTGTTGTCTTCTATGCAAATATATTTTCCACAGTTCAAATTGTTGGTAAAATGACAGAACATATGGTCGAATAGTTACATTGTGTCACACCGTGCTGTGGACATGTTGCGCAATGCATTCTAGGTTAACAAAGTCTAATTCTCAACTTACACACGACGAAACCTACATTCGCGTCCCTCCACAGCACTAGTTACAGCAACACAAGTTCCTACTATATGACGTCTCAATATGGTGTCAGTGCCGTTTTCGTAAACTCTTTTATGTTTTCAAAACTTTTATTTTACATAAATGGGACTATAAACAGCAACATCTTACGAATTAAAAAAAGCTATTAATGTTCAGTTTTCAGGTATTGTATGTACCTCCAAAAAGTTGAAAATTTAAAGTCTCATTTTGTGTTAGTGGCACTCTAACAAAGTATAGTGAATATTCAGTAGGGCCATCTCATTGCGCATGTGATTACCATAGTGGCAGGAAGTAAATTGCATTTTCTGACAAATAGGAATACTTAAATGGCTAAGGGCAGATCTAATTTAATACGCAGCAGCTAGTTGTATTGTGACTGTAAGGGACTGATTACATGGAGCATTTTCAACCCTTGGCTGAACTGTGAGTGAGTTCTTAACTGAGAGGGGCGCTAAAGCGAGCATTAACGGTAATACAAGTCAACTAGACAAGAAACAGACATGAAGATGCAAGCAGTATAATCACGTGGCTACATTATTTCACAATTGCTACAGCAACAAATTAGTATACATAGTAAAACGGGGTACTAATGATGACGATTGCAAAGTTATCTAAAGTAGTAAAACGGGGTACTAATGGTGACGATTGCAAAGTTATCTAATGTAATCGAAAATTCATTTCTAAACCAGATTTGATTAAAACTAAACTCACCTGGAACGTTCGTCGTCTTTGAAGCCTCGACATCAGATGGAGCATCTTTGCCACAAGTATCAGTGGTGTCGCTGAATTGAAATAGATTGATTGAGAACGTTAGAAGAATACCCGTGAACCAGCTGTATTACCAATAATCACCAAAGACAAACAACACAGAGATGTTTGCGTATAAGAAAGCAAGGAGACAAAATGAAGGCAGTAGCTACATACATGCAAGATGTACATAAAAATATATACAAACTTTTTTTGGATGTCTTTGATACCAAAATCCTGTCAAAAAATAGCATAGAGCAACTAAATAGCTTGAAATATCAAACATATATTACAGTTTATTTGGATTCAAAGTGCTCCTCCTGCCAGCAAAACGTTTTATTTGCGATATTGAATTTAAGTTTGATTTGTAGTGTATCAGAGAAAGATTTTTTAGTTTAGTCATATCGTGCCGTTTTTATGGTGGTTCAAAGTTGGCAAAAATGCTTTTTTTGATAAACCTTGTCCATCGTCCGAAAAGTCAGGAACGACTTAATTTTGTGACGTCATGCAAGAGACACATCAATACCAGGCATATATACCAACTACCTTGAATGACATCAGAATTTGGCTTTATCAAGACTTCATGCTACGACGGACAAGGTCCATTGGAAGGCAACTAAAACCACCATAGCAAGAGGGCGATTTGATCAAATTGAAAAACTGTTTCCCCAATACGTTAGAAATCACACATTATTGATAACGCTAATAACTTTCTTTGCTACCAAGAGCACTTTAAATGTATTGAGCATTACTACAATATCGAAAAAAGAATGACTTTGACCACTTATCTAAAGAGTAACTATAAGTAGACAGTATCGTTGGTATTTATAGACAGTATTGTTTGTAATTAGATCGTATAGATAATACACTAATATAATCTTGAATGTACAGTGAAAATGACTAAATATTGTAAATGCAATATCTTGTAAAAATTATTCACCATAATTTATTTCCCTCAAAGGTCCGTTCACCGTCACTTAAAAAAATCGGAAGAAAATAGAACTTGCTCTATTTTCATCCGACAAGATCGAAGGAAGATAACTAGCCTCAGACTTCTCACTCTTCATATTTCCCAAATTTGATTTCGTTCGAAAAATTACATTTGAAAAAACTTCCAAACGAATATAAATATCCAAACGAATATAAATATCCAAACGAATATAAATATCAACAAAATTATAAAACCGTCTGAACAAGCAACAAAAAGTCGGAACCGAAGCAATTAGATCCTACAAATCGGATCGTGTAAACGGGCCTTTAGGCTGAGCTCCCCTCTAGAATGATAATGGTCACTTACGTCATATGAGCTTCGAGGGCAATTCCCTTTTTCCAAAACTTTTGACTTTTCGTTGTCAATTGACAGTTCCACAATTTCTTCTTCGCTCTCGGCATTTTCGTCCATGTAAATTCGAACGTCAGTGGCACTGAAAAACACGTTCACAAAAAAACCTGATGGCTATAATTATTCTACAAGGTGTGCTAAAACTCTTAGCTCTCAATTTCTTCTTGATTTGTTGCTTAGTGCGAAAGATTGAGGTATTTGATAATTTAATCGTTGTCTCATTTTTCATAAAATTTCCATATTCCAACACTCAAATAAGTGTACTAAAACTACAGTTGTATGTAATGTCAATATTATCGCAGTTTCTTCAGTAAAAATTGAGTTTCACGCTTTTTCTTTGGTACAACTTTTACCTTGTAGCTCATAATATCGTTTGATTATTTATATCTTATTATTAAAACTATAGCGAGAAGAACCTAGGTATTCTTCTAACCTGTTTCCACTGTGAGAGATGTTGTCATCAGATTGAAGTAAATCATCAATAACATTGTCATCCTCTTCCATATCAGAAATGTCCGATTCGTATCCCTCCTTGGCCTTCTCTGCCACCTCTATCCAAAAAATAAAGTACACCATTTGGCCACGCGCTTTTCACAACTAGTCGTGAACGGCATGGTTTTGCATATCTTAACTATTTCTTTTATGTAGTTATATGGCATTAAGAATTATGAATTTTTTTCAGACTTTTGAACAAAACATATGCTGTGCACAAAAAAACATATGCAGTGCACAATAAAACATATGCTGTGCACAATAAAACATATGCTGTGCACAAAAAAACATATGCTGTGCACAATAAAACATATGCTTTGCACAATAAAACATATGCTGTGTAAAAAAAACATATGCTGTGCAATAAAACATATGCTGTGCATAATAAAACATATGCTGTGCACAATAAAACATATGCTGTAATAAAAACATATGCTGTGCACAATAAAACATATGTTTTGCAATAATAAAACATATGCTGTAATAAAAACATATGCTGTGCACAATAAAACATATGCTGTAATAATAAAACATATGCTGTGCAATAAAACATATGCTGTTAAAAAAACATATGTTGTGTAATAATAAAACATATGCTTTGTAATAATAAAACATATGCTGTGCACAAAAACATATGCTGTGCACAATAAAACATATGCTTTGCACAATAAAACATATGCTGTGTACAAAAAAACATATTCTGTGCACAATAAAACATATGCTGTGCACAATAAAACATATGCTGTGCACAATGAAACATATGCTGTGCACAAAAAAACATATGCTGTGAACAATAAAACATATGCTGTGCACAATAAAACATTTGCTGTTAAGGTATTGTTTCGCGCCTACAACATTTTGCGATGTAATTTTAGTCCATTGAAAGGAGGGGGGGGGGGATGGTCAACAGCATAAAGACGAAGTGAATGGATTGAACCCATTGAAACCAGGTGTATGGCTACATGTTTGTAGATGTAGATGGCCCGGGTTAGTGGAGTCAGTCTCGAGAAGGACTGTTGATGTTGGTGCTGATGTTGACTGATATTTCGACAACCCTAGAGGTTATGCGAACGCCTACAGTTCTTCTCAAAACTATTCTGACCTAGATGATCTACACCTACAAACAATTACGAAAACAAGTTGTATATACAATACCAATGTAATCAAGTTCGGCCATGTATTCATCGCCATATTTCCTACCATCCTGTAAAGAAAATACATCCGTGACAATGATATCAATGGTTTCATGCCGAAGAATACGAGAATTTCTTGATGAAGTGTCGAGAAGAGACATTCGGTAAATGTTGGCGGGTTTTAGAGCCGCTTACAAGAGAACCGTGAAATACCTGATTTGCAAGCTCTTCGTTAAGAATATAGCCAGCATATGTACACACAAAACTCCCCGCGGGAATGTCGTCGGTCGTTCGCAAGCCCCAACCACTAAATGTTTCATTGAATCAAAAGGTTATCGTACGTATAAAAGTGCAGTTTAGCAGACACCTTTTTGTTGATGATAAGCAGAAACGTGCCGCGGGCAGTGAGAAACAAAAAAATCATACACAAAAGTCCAACTTTATATAAGTTGATAGCTTGTATTTAAATTCAAATTCCGAATACCTCGCTCCCACCTTAAAACCAGTCGTTTAAACGAGAAATTTTTATGTGACAACTTTTATATGACAGCTATCTATGCTCGTGTAAGCAATACAGGAAATATTTTTCAAGAGAAGCTGTCTTCGTGCAGAAAAAATAAAATTCCCCCCCGAAATACGCGAAGTTCTCGTCGTCATCTTGTTTTTTTCATAAGCACGATATCTCGCCGTGACGATCATATATTTTACATGAAAATTTTTATGTGCCTCATAAAAAATGCATTTGTCATATAAAAATTGCCAAGTTTTTCTCCATTACACAAGCAAATAAATGTTGTCATATAGCTAAAAAGTGTCACATAAAAATTGCTCGTGTAAACGATGTTTAACTGATGTTCCAGCTTAACCATGCTAATTTGCATAATGTCGCTTTTCCTTTTTCACTCGTTAAAAAGTGAAATGGTGTTTTGTCATAACAGTTGTTGCATGCGTTACAATGCGTGTAATACCATCCCGCAATTGGTTTTCTGCAGAAATTAAAAAAAGACATGGGGAAAATCAAATCCAGAGTTTGTTTTTCGTTTCTTAGACAACATTATTGAATTGAAATTTCGTTTTTTGTTTTCTAGTTTATGACTAAACTCAAAAATTGAATCCGATTTTCGTTTGGGTTAGCGCGAAAATTGGGTTATTGGTACAGTAATATTTATCAACCATTAAAATTAACATGACAAACAGGCGTAACTCAAACAGTTGAAAAAACTTCAAAAACAACAAATAGGTAAAAACTTCGAATTATTCATCATCCTTACCGATTTTTTGTCTTGAATATTTGGAGTCGTATTTGAATTCCATTTTGAACGACACGATTTAAACAGTTGGTCGAGCATGAGCAGTTCGAGTTGCATTCATATATACTAGTTCAAATTAAGTCGGAGGAAAAAATTAAAATCAACACACTGTAGTAATAACGTGAGATACAACGCCAAATACACATGCTCATAAATGTAAACAAAATATTAAAGTCGACCCTTCTTCTTTAACAAACTGTAAATGTACATTAGACAACTATCTCTAATTTTAACGAAACAACCCTCCCTTCTCCAACAAAATGTAGTTGTATATAAAAAAAATAACTCCAAATTCAACAAGTCAACCTCCCCCTTTTTAACAAACTATAATTGTACATTGAAAAACTAACTCTGACGTTGACGTATCAAACCATCTTGAAGAGCCACTTTACTCAGATGGCTTGTATGAATATACACCCCCACCTCTCCATTTAACATTTTAGCTACGGCCATATCGTAATTAGATAAATCACAATAAAGTTATATAAATTTCCATTTTAATAACTCGGTTTTACCACTGCATACTAAATAATTAAGCGGATAACATTGCTAATACCAACCCGGTTTGAACACAATCTCGCAGTTTTCTATACTTGTACGTCATTCTGTCTTCATCATCCATCCCCATTGCCTTGCAGCCTTGCTTTGTCAACTGAATACACGCGCATTTCGTGGCATCCTTCATCACGAACAATAAAAGAGAAGAAAAGGATTACGCAGAAGCATAAAATTACTCGCTGTTCTTAAAAAATAGACGTCTCGGCAGCATTTTCCAGCTTTCCAATATTAAACCTTCCATCGAACACTTTTGATTTCATTTCAGCTGTTTTTACTTGAAAGGCAAACATTTGAACAAAATCACCTTCAAGAAACGAAAATATTTAGGCGGGAAATTCTACGGAAAACGCACAGAATAGCAGTGATATGTATTTGACCTCCAACATGGCGGAATTTAACACCCAAGAAGAATATTTAAAATCGAATACATGTACTTATCATTGATTTCTTTAATAACTGGAGCGGCTATCTCAAGCGCGGCTTTAGATATTGGATGTTATAAAAAACATGGAGAATTTCGTCCTCTGCCGCTGAGATTTAGCGAAATCGAATGCTTTTCAGAAAATTTCACAATTTTTCACTCCCCCTTAAGAAAGGAGAGAGGAAAAAGTATGTGTATAGTTGGCATTAGGCAAGCAAATTTTTGATGAAAATCAAGGTAGAAACCTAAAATTCATAACAGCGAGTCAACTGTGGTTGTCAGTTATTGGATCCTACGAGGATTCCTTTTTAGAACGATCGACGAAGGAGCTATTTAGCGGCTACATATGAATGCAGATGTGCGTCGTTTTATTACCAGCGTCAAACTTGTTTGCTCGATTAAACTCTTTAGTGTATACAAAAAAGTATATCATTGCTTATCTTCAAGTTCATGCAATGGGCATTGGCCTTTTTCTCTACAATAGTAGGATTTGTACTTGTTTCTTTATAAAGATGAATTAGAAATCTTTGGATATTTGCGGCTTGACTTAATGTATATGATTTTCTGTAATTGTATTTCATATTGAATTTCAAAAAGACTCAAGTTTGCATAAGTTTGATAAATGAAAACAAGTAATATTTTATAAAAATCACTAAGTAAACTTCTTGTGATGTTATGAAGTGCAACTGCATCAAATACTTGTAAAGTTGTAGCACATTTTCATTTTTTGTATTGATATATGAATTGGGCAAAATGCTAATAATCATGAAAACATTTGTGCTTGCAATGGTGTTATAATTCAATTGTGTTTTTAATACTTTTACCCTTCTTTTTTTCTTTGTTTTGTCTTTTCTATATTTGCAATGTAAACACAGTTTTCACCTCAGTAACAAATTTCATAAGCAGTTGCCAGTGGATTTTGTTCTCTGGGTATCCACATCTTGTGTTGTGTTCAAACAAAAATGATGAAGTGAATGTAGATATGTTATAGGTGTACAATAAACCAAATGAATGAACACATTTTGTATACTTTTATTGTATAAGCTAAAAGGCTTTTAGAAATTATAAAGTTTAAATTATACTTCCTCTATACAACCATCTCATGAAAAGAAATAAGAAGCAAAAAATTGAAGAAAACTAAGAAAAGTCAAATAAAATCTTTTTAAAAAGAGCAACAAATAATGCAAATGACAAATCTACATTCTATAATCTAATGGATAAATAAGCTCAAACTGTTTTTTCAAGCAAAAGATTGAAGCAATGAAGAAATATATTGCACTGTAACTTTAAAGGTTTCATTACTGAATCTTTAATGCTTCATTGTAGCATACATTTGCTATTACTAACATTCAAACAATTCTCTACTAAAAGATATATGAAAAAGATATAACAAGACTTAACCGTTAAGTTATTTAAAACCTAATGAAATATACAGTTTGAAAGCTTCATATATGCACTGATCATCATAACTCTCAGAACCAATGTTTACATAAACACAAAGTTTATTACTATCCCATTTTACATGTTTTTGAATTGACATTTCAGAAAGCATCAAAACACACGCAATCTTCTTGCCATCATTCTTTGGTTCTTGAACTTTAACTTCAAAGCATTCAAGGCATCCTTAGTGAATCCATTGTCTACATCCATAGAACTTGACCTTGATCAAATTAAATAACTCTGAATAGGACTCTGCCTGGTCAATAACATCTTCCAGTCATCTTTGCTGCTTGATCTCCCCTGCATGTTGTCAGCAAATAGAACATTACAAGCTTTGCTCCAAATCATGAGTACTGTTTAGGCTGATCGTTTCTTTTTGATATTTACCAACTGAGTAAAGTGTGCAGTGTCTTTGCGTCAGGGAAACTATTTTGCAAATAGATTGGTAAATTTACGATTTCATACATTAACATATAACAGAAAACTATGGTGAGTTTTCTAAATAAAAACAGGAAAACATCAGTATATTTGGCGTTCAAGTCAGTCCTAAAACATACGATCTTTAATGCGTATTTTATGGATTTTCAAGTGCATGTATAATTGCTTTTTAATCGTTAATGAACTAACATAACAAGCAATTATCTTACCTGTGAGAAGCGAGATGTTCTTCTTTGTGGAAACTACGACATCCGACAATTAAAAAATTGAAGTGTTGGCATTATAAAAGAAATGCCAAAAAGATATCGTGTTTGATTTGAAAAATTCTATATAATTGAGTATAGACACCTGGGGCCAGTCGAGAATATTTTTTCTGCAAAGCGAACATTTCAGCGGAAATAGGTCCTTTGGCCTCCATGTTTTTTACAATAGTTCCCAGTCCACTTAGCCGCTCCAGTTATTATAGAACTCAATGGTACTTACCTCGCAATTATCTGTGCAGTCACAGCAAACCATAAAACCAGGTTCAGTTGCAAGCTTCACTTCAGGAGCAAATTGCCTCTTGCTCATATACTGAATGTTCGGAGGACGAGTTCCATCAACTTCATTCACAGCCTTAAAGTTATCATAAAAAACATCATAAAAAACTACGCCCAACTTATATGTTACATACTATGTTGACATAAGCCCTTTTAAACCAAGCATCGGTTCTTTACTCAAAGATATCGAATCAAAGCCGAGGTGTTCTTGTACAGGGAGAGTTCAAATTGTGTTGTCGTCTTGATCATAAATTTTCCGCGTGTTCTTCCTTCGACTCTCATTCATAAATGTTTTTTTGTTTCGCTTTTTGGGTTGTACAAAAGTTGTTGTGTTGTTCTGTTTGCTGTACGAAATTTTTTTTTACAATCATTTATAAAACTACATTAATGAATCGCTGGTCCAACAGGGGAAAGTAATGAATTGCCAAAAACGTTCCGGAGCCAATCTAAGCGCGTAATTTCATTCGAAGTGACACTTCCAATAAAATGAACAACAATTTAACTTCCTTATTCACAGGCATTTACTGGAACAAGAAGATTTTGCGCTTTGAAAGAGGTAGCAGTTTTAGATGTAAAAATGGCGATTTTGACTAAGCTAGATACATTGTTACTTCCTGTAGCAAGTCTTATATTAGTGCAACTTAGTTATTGTCAGTTTAAAGAATAAAAGATGTTTCTTATGCAAACCGAGGAGACCTTTGGGAGAAAGCGAGAGCAGATCAGTGCAAGCCAGAAACTGAAGGTCGATGGTTGAACCTGCTCTCGCATGCAATGTACTAAACTATTTACTGACAATCGGCTTGGTTGAAAATATGTTAACATGAAAGAAAAAAAATCTTAAAACAACCAAAGAAATCGTTTTCAAATGAAATTCGTTGTAATTTACATAACAATTTCCACAGGAAGACAAAAATTCAAAGCATATAACAATACAACTTGTAACTTACCGGTAATGGTCGATTTTCCTGTCCGTTGGACACATCCTCGACAACAGTAACCTGCCAATTGAACAGAAACAACATATTAGGGGCTGTTCACATGAGCCCGGGTAACAGGGATACAGCGAGGCGTGAAATGATTTTGAGTCATTGAAAGGAGTAAAAATGTTAAGCGCAAAACTTACAACCTTTTCTAAAGCGTCATAAGTCATTTTAGTTGTAATTTTCAAATGAGACTAAATTATTTGTTTTCATTTTTAAAGGTTTTGTGAATTTGAAAAGTCAGAGCATAGAGAAATTTCTCAAATAAGTTTTCTGTTGTGAAGTATTTAATCTTTTCCATTTGCCAAAATGATTTTACGCTTCGCTGAATCCCGGCTACCCAGGCTCATGTGAACAGCCCCTTAATCCGCGCATGCACTTCATCAGCGAGCTCAATTCAGGTTTTTCTTACAGTGCAATTCTTCACGAGACGGCTGTTATAAATCGATTTGTGCAGTCAAAAAAAAATAAATTGTGCAGTCGACAAAACACGAACTTTCAACATTTGATAATGTATCATACAATCAAAAAGTTAAAGTAATGAAAATAAGTTGCAAAAGCTATAAAGAGTTCTGAATCACTGCATGCTTAGTAAGCAAAGGGCTATACGAGAAAAACCTCTTCTAAAAACATATTTAACCACAGACCAGCCAATGGAATGGTTTTAAAAATATCGATGTTTTATAGGTGTCGATACCAAATAGATAATTGGGATCATAAAATGTATCGATAGTTCAGAATCAGAAACAACAACACAATGTACAGTTCTAATTTTGTCTTAAAAAACCTGGAGCACAATAAATAACACATTTTCGTCGAACGTCGGAAATGCACACAAAATTATCCAATACTACATAAGGCACCTACCAATTAACATGAGCGAACGATTAATAATTTTGAACCACCCCAAAAGAAAAAATATGATGTAGGAATACACAAACCGGTGGAACATTATCGTCCGTCTGTACTCTCCAATCGAACGTAAAATGATCGACGTTCAAATTGGTAACTTCCGTTAACTGCAGATACTTCAAAACTTCCTTCATATTTCTTAGCCTGCGATTGCACGGTGCGCGGTAGTACACTTCCCTTTTGTCACTCTTGCCCCTCCTCCTCACCTCGTCGCGTTTCCAATCATACAATATGGGAAGAGCTAGGGGATTATGAAGAAGGGGATCGATGGAAAATTTACTGTTCCTCCGACTGCAGAAAATTGAACAGTTATGTGACACTGGACCTAAAAAGATACATCGCCGTTATTATTCATCGAGTATTTGAATTTATGTGTAATTTAACAATACCGTAGACTCGTAATATTAGCCTTCCCATGAAGGTAACCGCCCTTTTCATTGAACTTTTAAGAGCTCTTCAACATTTATACTTTTATTCGAGTAAATACGGAATGCTTCATGAAATTTTTAACACTACCGCAACAACGCATGTCTTTAAATGCAATGAAAAAATACCATTCCTACAGCGTGGACAAAACCTGTTTTCCACTAGCCACGTATCGTAACGTATCGTAGCAAAACGTAACATGGCGCATGGTCAATTGGCACAATCACGCATGCGCCATATTACGTTATGCTACGATACGTTACGATACGTGGCTAGTGGAAAACAGGCTTAAGAGAAAACGATCGGGATTCGTCCGATGCAGCGCAGGCGGTTACTGTCGATACCTTACGGTAATTTGTTCAAACTTCTTAAAAATTTAAGTATGGAAGAACAGTTAAAAAATTTAATTAAATACATGAATACTCGACAACCTGTGGTCTCATGTATAGAACAGATAAACTTGAGAAACGGTTCACTTTTTAATTTATTTATATATTAACTCATTTCAACTCATGAGTTTGTTTTTACCAAATTACGGGGGGTAAAAGTTTGCGTATCATAATAGTTGCAAAACAGAACAACGAAATTCAACCCAACACAATCTCACATGGGGGTAATCCCCCGCCCCCCCTTTCTATAGCTTTTGCTTTGCAAAGTGTAAAAGTATAAAAATCCGCTTTGTATAAAAATATTTACATTTGATAAGTATGGATGTTTAACAGTATTTCATGTCTCACTTGTGTTCCACTTTCATTTTTAGTTGACGTTAGATTAATCAATTATAAACTTTACAAACGAAATCAAACAAATTTTGTACATTGAATGATTACTGATAAAACTGTTAAAAACAAATTTGCTATACTGGGAACAACAATCCGATTCTGCGACCTTCTTTCCCCACCACTTTTTAAACCTACCCGCAGCCCCTGCAGTTCATTACACATGTAGGTAAATAATGTTTAATTATACATGTCATTAGTTGCATTTACGGGTGAAGTAATGCAAGAAAGATTTTAATTAATTGTACCACTTTGAGGCAATCCCGCGTGATTCGCTTAGTCTCGCGAGTAATATAAACCTTTACTGGAAACCAGTGAAACTTTTTCATCATTCACCTTATACTTCGTAATTTATATATGAATCTCAATATATGAATCGCGAAACATCCATTATACATCCATAATACTATTAAGTGTAAATTCTATTTCGAGTAACATCAGAAGGAGATGATTTTTTCTAACAGACAGCTCAGAATGTTACCAAGAAATCAAAGCGCGCAATTTCACCGGAAGTGACTTTTGCCAGATAATAGCTAAGTAAAAGCATGCTAAGCTTCGCAAGCATTAAGAAAATTTAAACGTTCACAAGCATGATCATGAAAGCGTTACACAAGAATAAAAAACTTCTTTTGAAAATAAAAAAAAACAAACCTGATGATAAAGCCGTGGTCTCAAACGATGCAATTTCACTATCAGCTAGTTTCTTTTGTGAATTTATCAATTTTTCCTCCAATTTTTGTTTCAAGATGCTGGCAGCATCCCCAACTTTTGTGGTCTGAGCACTAGTGCCAGTTTTGGGCCCATCTCCACCACTGGAAGCGCCTCTTTTTTTGCGATTCTTTAACCACGGCGCCTTCCATTGAGTATTGGGGACTGGACTTGCTTTACACACAACGGTTTTAATTGGAATTTGTTCATTTGTTGTTTTTTGCTTTAGAGTTGGTTGAATTGGGGTTTGTTGATTGTCTGCATATTGTTTTGTTGTTTGTAGAATTGGAGTTTGCTGCTTCGGAATTGGCAGAATCAGAGTTTGTTGCTTTGGAATTGGCAGAATCAGAGTTTGTTGATTCGCAGCTTGTTTAGTTGGAGTTAGCTGGTGTGTAGTTTGTTGATTTGGAGTTTGCTGGTATGCAGTTTGTTGATTTGGAGTTTGCTGGTGTGCAGTTTGTTGATTTGGAGTTTGCTGGTGTGCAGTTTGTTGATTTGGAGTTTGCTGGTGTGTACTTTGTTGATTTAGAGTTTGCTGGTGTGTAGTTGGTTGATTTAGAGTTTGCTGGTGTGTAGTTTGTTGATTTGGAGTTTGCTGGTGTGTAATTTGTTGATTTGGAGTTTGCTGGTGTGTAGTTTGTTGATTTGGAGTTTGCTGCTGTGAAGTTTGTTGATTTGGAGTTTGCTGGTGTGTAGTTTGTTGATTTGGAGTTTGCTGATGTGTAGTTTGTTTATTTGGAGTTTGCTGGTGTGTAGTTTGTTGATTTGGAGTTTTCTGGTGTGTAGTTTGTTGATTTGGAGTTTGCTGGCGTGTAGTTTGTTGATTTGGAGTTTGCTGGTGTGTAGTCTGTTGATTTGGAGTTTGCTGGTGTGTAGTTTGTTGATTTGGAGTTTGCTGATGTGTAGTTTGTTGATTTGGAGTTTGCTGGTGTGTAGTTTGTTGATTTGGAGTTTGCTGGTGTGTAGTTTGTTGATTTGGAGCTTGCTGGTGTGTAGTTTGTTGATTTGGAGTTTGCTGGTGTGCAGTTTGTTGATTTGGAGTTTGCTGGTGTGTAAATTGTTCATTTGGAGCTTGCTGGTGTGTAGTTTGTTGACTTGGAATTTGCTGGTGTGTAGTTTGTTCATTTGGAGTTTTCTGGTGTGTAGTTTGTTGATTTGGGGTTTGTTTGTATGGAGTTTGCTGCTTTGAAAAAACTTTGCCGCTTGTGGAAATTTGACCACTGCACTCGAACTTGAATATCTCGTTGTTTACTAGAAAAAAACCCAGGAATAAACCCAAATTGATATTTGCAAACACAGATGTTTCCATGTTCAGCACGACGCAGAAGTCTAAAGCAAGTTTTCAACTAAGCGTTTTCAATGTTTAAAGACGTATCAACAAAAACAAAATCCTGGATGGTTTCAATAAGTGACGAAGAAAGCACGCATGATTTTTTCTCACATGCTATGCAAAAATAATCAATAAATATTATTTCTCTGACGAAACTAATAACGAAACTAAAAAATACCTATGGTGTGAGTAAAAACTCGGGCTTTTTACTTTTTTTCCTTGTTTGTCATAACATGAATCTCCAAACATCGATAGTACTCACATAAGCTCGCACCAGTCCTCTTTCTCATAGTACTCGCTTGAATGCATGAATATGTACTTTCGACGACTGGTTCATCTTCAATCATGATTGCTAAAGTAGTTTAAGATCGGAAAAAAAATGACGACCATAAATAGTTCGCAGTAAAAGAGCCCAAATACTTTCTGTATGTAAAGAATGTGTTTCAACCAATATGCATTGCGTGCAAATCACGGCGTGACAGCTACTTTTGGACGAGAAAATGACGTCGTAAAAAGTCTCGAAGAATTTTATTATGCAGTCAAGGCAGGCGTTTAAATAACCCTTATCAACCGAGCGTGAGGTCTTTACTGAAAAATATTAAGCCAATATTTTTTTGTACAGACCAAGGCCGTAGGATGGTGAGTTGCCACTATCAAGTCCAAAATGCAGCCTCACACCTTGAAACTATCGACAAAAGTTAGCATGTAGTTTATAACTCTACACACTACAAACACAACTGTCAAGTGCCCTTCTGTAAAGTGCTTATTTTACTACATTTGAGAAGAGGACAAAAAATTAATTTATTAAGTTCTTCAAAACTTTTCGGTTTGCTCTTTTCATTCGATAGGTATTCGGCTCTAAAAAACAGTTTTAATAGAAATGTTGGGTAGTAACTTGAGTGTGAGTCGGGCAAAGTATGAAGTAGCTTAAGAGACTTAAATTATGCGCTTCACACTATTAGATATATATCGATAGTGTGAAAATTGTAATTTAAGTCTCTCGCACTACGTATGTCATACTTTGTCCGCTCCAGACTTTAGTTACTACGCACGATTTTATTATTGACTTTTGTTATTTAGAGCCGAATATCTGGCAAATGAGAAAAACGCAAACCAAAATTGTTAAAGAGCTTAATAACTAATTTTTTGTCCTCCACAAAAATGTAATAAAAACAAATTGTGATATAAGCACTTTAAAACGTATTGTAAGCATGTACTGTAATTATGTCAGGCGTTAAGTACTCATTCTACCTTTATTCTGTACTTCTGGAGGGAAAGAAGACACATCCTTTTGAAGTTTTTCATCAGATGTTGATGGTTCAATGACGGGCGATTTAATGGAAGACGCTTTTTCATGGACTGCAAGCCATGATTTGTCGCCGCTTTTACGTAAACGAAGCTTTAATTCTTCCTTACGTGACTCTACATTCTTAGAAAGAAAATGAACATTTTGTAGAGAAAATGGCTAAAGTTATATGTTTTTTCATGTCACGAACTATTAAAAACACTTGAGTCATTGCCGACAATATCGAAAAGAATAAAGGAAAATTAAAGATAAATATTTTGTTAAGGGTTATTCCTTTATGAAAGGAACATTTTATAATCATAACAGATCCATAGTGCACATTTCAAAATCAGAATTGCATTTCTTTGAGACACTAGAACTAACCTGTTGTTGTTTTGAGGTGATTTCTCTCTGTTCTTTCAACTGTCGTTGCTGAATACCTGAAATCAATGAGCAAAACTACTACAGTATAATTATATAATAACAGTACTGAGAAATCAGAGCTGTATTTTGAAATTTGATGATAAAAATGCCGCCGAAAAATCCTATTCATACGAATAAAAATTGCAAAAATCAGTTTTCTATCACATAAATGCAATCAAAACGGTCTGGATGTACATTGCTATCACCTTATAGTAATTTTGAAACAAATAGACAAATAGAAACCTACTGATTGGAAAATGACAAAAAATTCCTAGTTGAAATTTTTTAGTGGGTGAATACAAACTTATTAACTGATTAGCCACTTTGAAAACTCAAAGTACTGTTTCGCGGGATGCATCTTTTTTCAAACAAATTTATATTGCAAACACAATAATTACAAACAAACAGGTGAAAAAAACTCGATTTTCTACTACGTAAACAGTCAGTATTCTCCTGAACTGCAATGCTATGATTTCTGTTGATATTAAAATTGACATTGATGAAACGATGATGATAAACTATGAAACGCAATCTGGCGTAGTCCAAAACAGTACCATAATGCCTCACGAGCTATCACTGGATCCTAGACTCAATGCTGTTTTCGAAGTGGCAAATCAAGGAACGCTTTCAATGATTTCATTTTGACTAGGATGTTTTTCAAGATTTTTTTCAAGATGTTTTTCATTTTGACTAAGATGTTTTTCAAGATTTTTTCAAGATGTTTTTCATTTTGACTAAGATGTTTTTCAAGATTTTTTTCAAGATGTTTTTCATTTTGACTAAGATGTTTTTCAAGATTTTCAGTCCTTTATATAGCGACTGATAGCAGTGAGGATACAAACATAAAAAAAAACAAACTTTGTGTATATTGGAGTAAGGAGAAATACGTATATCCGTACCTTTGGGATCTGTTTTACTGTATGTCGATATTCCGTAACAAGGCGGACTGATGTTATATTCAATGAAAGGTACGCCTTTCTTCGACGGACGACCACGGGTCAATTTTCTCGCTTTTTTTGACTGCTGTTGTTCTCCATTTACCTATATCAACGGTTCTAACAACTATAGTTACGTAATAAAAAAGCACTGGGGCCGGTTGCATGAAACCTGTATAGCATTATCCATTGGATAGCAATTTTTTTAACTTTTATAAAACCTTTTAAAAAGCATAAACTATGAGATTCGTACTGAACAATCACTAAATAAAAATATTGTTTCGAAGATTACCAAATTTCTTTGTCGTAAGAAAAATATAAAAACTTTTGGACCCCCTGGGGTCCAAACAAACAACAATACTAACACCCTCAAAGGACTGAGTCGAGATTGGCGAATCCTTTAATGTAGTTGTTCTATTAAAAGCTTAGTTGACACTATACTCTAGTGCTTACTGATTGTCTAATTCAAACTGAAGCTTTTAAAGCTTTCAAAAAATTTGTAAAACCAAAGAAACATTGATAACATTCGAACGTTGAATGATGTCGGCGCTAAACGATTCATATGATTGACCTAAACCAAAACTGACGATTTGTACGACTAAAATGGGCTTTTTACACGTTTATAAATATATATAGTTGCGGATATGATAGTCCATACTTGGTTTTTGAATGATTGATGGGATTTCAAAAATTTCTACAAATATGACGTCGTTTCTTTACCCTGACACGGTAGTTTGACATCTGGTGGATTGGGTTCTAATATTTAAATCATTTATACGTACCAATGTTTGGTATAAAGGATCCAATCTAGTCGAGCCACGATATATCCATTCAGAACGTCTGTCAACTTCAAATAGCATCTACGTGAAATAAACAGAAAAAAATTTCAGGACACCAGATTGCTTATAGAAATGACTTATAAACTTCTCGTTTGAAAATACACTGACAGTAAAAAAAATGTTCGGGCATTGTCTAGTAATGTTGGATGATGATGATTATGATCCACGCCAAAAATTGATTAATATACAAAACGACTTGTTTTACCAATACAAAGCTGTAATTAAAGCAAGAGTATGAAAAACTAGTTATCACGTAGTTCTATTTGCGATATTGAGTTTATGTGTGATTTCTAGCATATCGGTAAAAAATTTTTAATTCGGTAAAATCGTTCCACTGTATGGTGGTTTGAAGTTGGCTTTGAATGAATATTGCCCGTCGTGGAAATAAGTGAAAGTTCAGGTAAATTATGACATCATTCAAGGTAGCTGGTATATTTTCTATTGAACCTATACTTCTAAGTCCCTTGCATGACGTCAAAAAACTGTACTTGGTTCCACTCTCTTTTGACGACGGACAAGGTCCATCAAAATGGCCATTTTTTTCAACTGCACACTGTCATAACAGTCGAATGATTTGACCAAATCAAAAATCATTTTTTACTGATACGCTAGAAATCACACATAAATTACATAATGCAAGTCAAAATTCTTTCTGAGAGAGACACATCATTACTTTAATATTTTTTGTGTAACTCATTACTCTCTCCAAATGTTACGTAACTAAACTATTTTTGCTGGTGGAGCAGTGCTGACTACCTATGTTTCAGAAACAAAATCAGGAGGGTGTTGTCTCCCTTCAAGGAACTTGATGGGAAATAGAGAGAATATGTGGTTAAACAAACTGATCGCAACAATGAAATGAGACAAGAGAAATAACCTAACTTTTTAATGACAGTCGGGACGTATGAGTCCCATCCACGAAACTATTCTGAAAGTCGATACAAAAAAAAACACGCCGAATCTTAAAGAGTTAATTGAACTTTGAAATGTAAATAACAAACCTTTACAAGGCTTCCATCAACACTTAGCACTTTCGCTCTCCACCTAAAAATCACATAGTATTTCAACTCATAACAATTTTACATCAGTGGCTGCACTACCAGACCACCTCTAAAGTCCTTACTTCCTTACGTTGCCTTACAGCCACTTCTATACCACCTCACACACCCACCCACACCCACACCCACGCCATCAAATCTTGTGTAGGAAAATCCGTTGATGCTTATTATGCCCAATTACATGCTCATATATTACCAATCTCCTTTCCATTCAGTACGAATCCATTGTCCAACTTTAACGTGTAGCATTGGGCGCTATAAAGAAAGAATCGATACAAATGAAGTCCTAAACAAAGATAAACCTGCCATTTCACGGAAATCCACTCACGGAGGGAAAGTCTTCCAAGTACTCCTGAATAAAATCACGCGAGTCTTTTGTTACGTCATCCCAAACATTTTGACCTAGGATGAAGAAAAGTGAATAAGATGCGGAAGAGAAGACGAACAAGAGCGAGAGAAAACAATACTAACGAACGACGCCAAGACGAACAGCGATGAAGACATCAGTAAACATAAACGATATCAGCAGAAATGTGACAAAAATTAACCTTTGTGATGAACTTTGTGGATTTTCTTCAGCGGCAAATACTGAGCAAAACCATCGTCAAAGAAAACAAGGACTCGCTGCTTGTTTGCAGCACACGCAACTTCAGCAACAATGCCTGCATACCACAAGTCCAGGACTCCGTAAAGAGCTGTAATATTTAAACATATTTTAACGAAAGAACCGCTGAAAAACCAACGTTTCAAACTGCACTTTGTAGAGTTCACAAAGTTCAAAATTAACGAGAAAGTTGTGCATATTATACAAAAATGATAACACTTGTTTGGTAACGCGGCAATTGTCGAGTTTTGCCGAAATACGCTTGGCATTATAAATTAAGTTCTTGCAGCCATCAAAAGACACGAAGAAAACATATCGTTAGTCTTTGCACCATAATCACACATTCTCATTGGTCAAAAGGTGACAAATATATATTTGTATTCACGGGCAGACAAAATAAATCACGAATTTTTCGGTGAACATGACAAAAATATCGTAGTTTTAGTTACCCATGTGCAATAATTTACTGCAAAAGGGCGGGAAACTTAGTAAAATTAATTTGTTTCGAAAAAATGGCGTGAGGTCGCTTCGTTTCTTTACTGAATTATTTTCGTTTGTAGTTCAACAGAATTATTTAAACACTGATAAAACTTAGTCAATAAATATTCTTGGTGCGAAGAATAATTATATACAGACATACTACTTAAGGACTTGAAAAACATGAATCAATCTCAGTATAGAGCAAGGAACGCTTAATTTACATACATACTTAAGATATTAAGTAGGATCATGACAGTAGAGGAGAATTCAACATTCCAAACATCATTTTTACCCTTCCCCACGTCAACATATTTCTGTGGAAAATAAACGATCCTTTTCTGTCGTAATGGCGGGATTTGCAATCACTTTTTCGAGTTCAACACATTTTTTGTCATGGGCAATGATGGCTGCCGCTGAAGTAGTTCACGTGAATGATCGAATTAAGATGTTTTTTAATAAATTTTGCCCAAAAGAAATGCTCCAATTTCAGAGCAATTTTTTTTTAAATTTGAAATGAAAAAACCAGTATTGCCACTATATGACAAGGATAGAATATATAACTGTTTTGTTTACACGACAAATAATTTCATTTGCAATGAAAATATTTCTGATTTGAATAAAGTGTGTAAAAAACCCATTTATTTAAATGTCTGTGTGTTACACACGACTGAGGAACCTTTACTCACCAACTACTCTACTACCAACAGAGAGATCCAATGTGGTGGCTGGCTCTTCAGGGCACACGTGGTTAAGAGACAGCAATCCCTTTGGACCTTTATCGTATTTAACACTGTACTTCACCTACAAGAAGTGGTCAAGAAATAAAAGCAATGACTGACGATTATGTTTTCATTCGAACACATTTTTTTGATGAAAGTTAAGAGATACGTATTTTTTTATCGAAATCAACCCTCACATACGTACAAAAACTCTCGGCGTATGTAGCAGCTAGCTAAAAAGCGCATAACAGTAGTCTCTTCACAGATTTAAAAAGTAAAACAGGAAACAGTTCCGCATTTTCATCGATAAAAAGAGGTAAATGGTTTGAACCCGGGAGTATCGTTATATGTTTGTAAATGATGATCGTCCAGGTTAATAAAGTCCTGAGAAGGACTGTTTTTGTTGTTGTTGACTGACGTTTCGACAACCTTAGTGGTAGTCATCTTCAGAGTCACAGTCCTTCTCAGGACTTTATTAACCTGGACGATTATCATTTACAAAAAGATAAAAAGAGGGTTGTGGGCAATATATATATATATTTATAAAATAACCTTTACATAAAAGATTACCAATTTTCAAACTTATAAAATAGCCTTTCTATAACTTTATAGAAAAACGCGTTAAATTCGGGTTGCGTGGTTTGCGCGAGAAAATTATGAAATAGGCTTAATACGACCAACAATAGAAACGCATCGTCATCGGCATAAGCGTACGGGGGTAGCTCAACACTAGGGGGCTCAGTCTATTCGGCTGCAAAATTTACATCTGAAAAACAAAAAAATTTTCCCACAATAAGTGGATATGTTTGTAAATGTAGATCGTCCAGGTTGGTATAGTCCTGAGAAGGACTATTTTTGTTGTTGTTGACTGACGTTTCGACAACCTTAACGGTAGTCATCTTTAGAGTCAAATGAGGAGTAAACGTCAAGTTAGCCGTATTTGTTATCTGGTTCATATATATCTGGTTCTTATATCTTATATCTCATATCTTATATACGAACCAGATAGCAAATACGGCTAACCTGACGTTTACTCCTCATTTGACTCTAAAGATGACTACCGCTAAGGTTGTCGAAACGTCAGTCAACAACAACAAAAACAGTCCTTCTCAGGACTATACCAACCTGGACGATCTACATTTGCAAACATGTAACGATACTCCCGGGTTCAAACCATTTACTTTGTAAGTGGATGTATCAACAATTTATTTTTCGGGGGGAGTGCAGCTCCAATATCACAATCTTAGCAATAGAAGCGGACGAAATTTATGCTCCATCCAGTATACATACAGAGATCAATGATATGGATGGCAAAAAAGAAACCCTCCTTTAAGTAGAACATGGCATTGAGCAGGGCGGTTATAAGAGTTTATATTTCACACCTTACCTGACCGTTTTTGTCCGTGATTGTTTTAATGATCTCTCCTAAAGAGGAAAACATGGTGATGAATGTTCAGGTAAAGCCTAATTCACACAACATGGGCGACACTAGAACGTTAAGTGCGGGAAGGGGTGTGAATATTGATGTATTCAGCTCTGCCCTGCTGATTTCTTTTGAAATTATAATCGCTAACCGAATCAGTCAAGCAGAGCTGAACATATGAATCTTTATCCCCCCACTTAACGTTCTAGTTTCGCCCCAGCATGAATTTATCTGGGTTCGATCAAGATTGAAATTAAACCAGGTTAATTTTTTGGCGCGTAAACACTACTATCCAAAGTTTAATCTGGGTTTAACTAAACCCGATTTAAGAGGTTGGTTAAATAACCACATGTTAAACATGGATTAGTATATAGCATTTACATGCAAAAAAACTAACCTGTGTTAGTTTTAACCTCAGTCGAAATCGGTTAGTTTTTGTCGCGCAAATTGGAATTAAGATATTTTCATAAGTGTAATTATTTAAATGTCTACACAGTTTAGCAATAATAGCAGTGACGGCTATGGTTTGCATTTAGCATATACCCTTTTGTAGTCATTAGAGCACATTGCAAATTCAATTACACGCTTTGACTTATCGATAGCGATGTATTGATTGTCGAGTTGTGCTCTTGATTGTTCTTTCGTTTTTGTAGTTTTTCATTTAATGAAATTCTACATCGCGATCGTTAAGTCAAGACGTGTAATTGAATGTCGAATGTGCTATAATGATGAGCGAAGGGTGTACAGGACAGATACAGGACAGGGATATGAGGGTACCATATATACTGAGCAAAGGTCAGTGTACTATTCACGAGACAGACTAAGGATAGGACAGGGTACTATCAACAAATCAGTGCACTATAAACGAGGCAGAGTACTATATACAGAACAGAGACTGCCTACTATAAAACAACAGGCTATAAATAATCACACTATAAATACAGTGTAGTGAGTGTACTATATATACACAGGACATAGTACAATATACAGAAACAAAATATGGAATATACATAAGGGTCACTCAAGTCGGAACCTATGATGTTTTTGTCCTCACGCATGTTGTGCCACGCATATTGGCTGCAATTATTTCGGCCTGAGATACTTAGCGTTTTTCATTTGTTCCCGACGCCTAAAATGACCCGACGTCATTTCTTATATTATATAATTTTCGATCGCATTACGAAGAAATGACGTCATATTATTGCAGTCGTTGAAAACAAGTGAAAAATCCGTCTTGATGGAATAATGGCGGCCATGAGGACGCGGTGCACACTTCAGTGACCCTTCTGTGTTGTCAGTATTTTGTGATACAGATAACAATTATAGACTGATATCAACCAATATAATTTATCGACACAGACTGATTTTCCTCGTACCTGGAAACCTCCTTTTCCGAGAACACGACAGCCGTTTTAATCCTGTGGTCGCGACTAAAATCTTTGTAATCATAACACATTCTTTTCTGCAAATCGTATAAACAAATTCTTTAATATCCACTTCCCTCTAATCTCCCTCCCTCACCTCTAATCACTTCCCTCTACCGTCGCTCCCTCCCCTCACCTCTAGCTACTCCTTTCCCTCTACCGTCGCTCCTCCCTCACCTCTCTCCTCTTTCCTCTACTCTCCCTCCCTCACCTCAAGCTACTCCTTTCCCTCTAACGTCGCTCCCTCACCTCTAGCTACTCCTTTCCCTCTAACGTCGCTCCCTCACCTCACCTCTAGCTACTCCTTTCCCTCTAACGTCGCTCCCTCACCTCACCTCTAGCTACTCCTTTCCCTCTATCGTCGCACACTCCCTCAACTCGAGCATGTTTACCTGACCAGTAAGTGGAAAAATATTTTTTCTACAATAAACTAAAGGTTAATGGCAACCTATTTTTTTTCAACACCAACAAACATTTTGATTAGAGAAGCATGGATGTTAAAAAGCTAAAATCGTAATTCTCGGTTAAACTCTTCTTCAACAACTTCGACAATAGAGAAATTTGAAAAGTTGCCGCCATCTTAAATCCGATTTCAAGATAACGTGTGACGTCACAACAGTGTATTAGTGTTAAGATGGCACTTTTGATGACGAACAAGATGAATGTACACTCAACAATTTGGGTCAAAGGAAGCCATGAGTGAGTATATACAGTATGTTTATAAACTTTAGTGTAGGCAACTCATACCAAGAAATTTGTTTTTGTACGCATAGGGCCCGGTTCTAGCAACAAGTTCCATTTAGGAAAAGAAAAGAGTCCAATTTCTCAACGGTATTTCATTTACAGCTGCTACAGTAGGACAGTACATGGCTATTTCTAAAACTTCGTTCGTATAAATCTGTATTACGCACGAAAAGCTTGCCTTGTTGTGACGTCATTTTGCTAAAACTTACAATTATTAGGGGCTGTTTGAATGATCCCGGGTAACCGGGATTCAGCCAAGCGTTAAATGATTTTGGCAAATGGAAAAGATTTAATACTTATCATCAGATAAATGTTCTTCAGCACTTTCACAATATTCTGAATTAATAACTATACCAATAACATTCAAAATCAAACAACAAATTTGGCCTAATTTGAGAATAACAACAGGAATTGCTTGCGGCGCTTAACAAACAGTAGTAATTTTTTCGCTTGAAGTTTTGCCTCTTTTCAATGCGTCGAAATGATTTTACGCCTCGCTGAATCCCGGTTAGCCGAGATCATGTAAACAGCCCTTAGCGTGGCAAAAAATTTTTACAAGATGGCGAAGATTTGCGATGTGATTGTGTTATAATGGACACGTAGCAAATCTACATGCAGAAATCACAGTATTGTGAATTGCTTTTAGTGTTGATTGATGTTATTGAACAGTATAATGAAATAGCTGAATGTACAAATGTATTACTATTTTCTTTAAAAAATTTTTTTGTATTTAAGGAATGTCGGATTGCTTTTTGTTTGATCAAAACGACGTCGATTATATGAAAATGTAACAATGTTGACATGGAGCATTGGCATTTCCTCATCGGAAATTCTCTTAAACATAATTTCCTTAAACACCACTTACTTCAACCATGAAATCATCCCTTTGGAGCTTTGAGGCGCTTCACTTTGTGACATATATTTTGAAGTTACGTTCGCAAGAGGAGCGGGTTGTTGTGATTCCTTGTCTTTCTCAATGGATGCAGTAAGCAAGTTCAAATCCTCGACTTGGTTTGATTCAACGACATCCAATGTTGTTGAGGACGAAACGGTCTTCGTAGGGCAGTGACGTTTATCAAAGACTTCAAGATCAGCCACAGTTCTACCGCAAAAAATTCTAAACTAAACAACAGCAATAGCGCGTAGCCTAACGATTTTGACTCACTGTGTGTTTTTCTCAAATAATACCCATTTTTAACAATCGCGAAACAAAAAGGTGAATTCAGAACGAAGTTGATGATTCAAAAATGGAAGTTGCGCGCCCTTGTTGCTTTGCATGCCGATCCAAACGTTGTAACCCGAGAAAGTTACATATGCTTGATACTGTTCAATTAAATCAATTAAGAATTATAAAATAAAAACAATAAAACACTGATTGGTCTACAGCTGTGTTTGCATTAGCCTGTGCAAACCGATCTGAGCTCAAGCAATGAAAACAATCAATCAATTAAAGAGAATTTGAAAATCAATCATGAATACGTTTTAGAGGGAAAACGTTTGTCGTACATTGGTCGGTTTCGCATTATTATTTTATAAAAGAAATAAAAGATGTTTTTTGTATAAAAACAGATTTATGAAAACTTCGGAGACATTTGTGAGAACTTTCGAGCTGATGCAAACCTCGAGCTTTGATCTTGGGCTTGCCATGAACAGCTCGAAATTCTTCCTAAAGTCTCCTCGATTTGAATTAGCTTTTGCAAAGACGGTACACATCTTTTATTTCTTAAGAAGTGTAGAAAAACTGAAAGCAATAAACATCCAGTTGCAATGAAATCTTGGAAAAATTCAACAAAATGTTCGCCAATATCCTGATGTGATTTGCAAGTTTGAAGTTTGAAGTTCAGAAAAGAAACGCTTTAACGATCACAAGCTTAAGCGAACATATTTTGGCATTGTTTATCGCAGAGCTTTCTCTTGCATTGACTTTTGAATTGGATTTGTAAGTCATACAAGATATTTTATGAACGCACGTACTTCGTTGAACAAGTTTCCTCTTGGCTAGATTTCTCAGGAATTTCTGGGACTTCTCGCACGTCGTCAATTGGCAAGGTAATTTCTTCTTACATAAAAAAAAACAAAGCAAATTTCAAATTATCATGGTGGTTTTAGCATGCATTAAGGAACATAAAAATGGCAAAAATATCATTCAAAATTTCACGCCGCGGCTATTAATTGAAGCGGTAAAGACATGCAAAGTTGCGAACCGAATTTTTAGAAAAACCTTTCATTGTTCATTTCTTATTGACAATATTTGCAAGCAGTTTTTATGACCAAATTGGATTGGTTTCAATCATTATAAATTGGTCGTTTCATATGTCAAACTGAATTGATTTCAACCATTGTAAATTGGACGTTTAATGACCAATTTTGCATATGCCCGTTATAATCAAATGGCGTTGATTGCAACCACAAAATATGGTCGTTTTGACCATTGAGTTCTATAATAATTGGAGCGGCTAAGAGGACTGGGACCTGACGCCAAAAACATGGAGGCTAATTGACCTATTGCCGCTAAAATGATCGCTTTGCAGAAATATTAATATTCGCGATCTCCCCTTGATGTCTATAGTTAATTATATAGCATTTTTCTAAAAAAAACACGATATCTTTTTTGGCATTTCTTTTATAACACCAACACTTCAATCGTTCAATTATTGGATTTCGTAGTATCCACAAAAAGGAAAATGTTGCTTTAACCGGTGAGATATTTATTTCGTTTGTTCATCAAAAACTGAAAAGCAATTGAACTTGAAAAGTCATAAAATCCGACTGATGTTTTCCTGTTTTTGTTTTTAAATATCAACATACTTTTCCACCTATTTGTTAATGTGTGAAACCGTAAATATGTTTGATAATAGTTCCCCTGACGCGAAAAGATTCTGCTCTTTTTACTCAGTGGGCACATACTATAAAGAAACGATGAGTACCCATGAAGTAGAGCAGAGTTTGTTCTGATCAATTTGATGACAACGCGATGAGACGAGTATGAGCAAAATGTTTCTGGAATGTGATGCAGTACCAGTACCAACACTATTTCATAGAGCACTATGAAGACAACTGGAAGATGCTATTGACCAGACAGAGTCTAACTGAAAAATTATAAAGCAGAATACAAACAAAGGTAAATGATTTACAGACTTCCCTGTCCAACAGTTATTTGAACTTGGACTAATTCCATGGATGAAGACAATGGATTTATAAAAATGCCTTTAATGCTTTAAAAGTGAAGGTTAAGTACCAAATAAAGATGACAAGGTTGTGTGGGTCTTGATATTTGATGAATTATCATGTAAAATGGTCATAAAGTTTGTGCTTATGTCAATATTTGATACTGAGATTGGATGACTTACTGCAACTGTACAATCCAGCGTGTTTTGGGTAAAATCATTTCATATCTTTATTAAAATATTTTAGTAGAGTGTTTTCTATGTTACTTATATGTAATGCATGCCATATTGAAGCATTAAAGATTCAGTGATGAAAACCTCAGTGTTATATATTTCTTCTTAATTTCAGTTTTAGCTGAAAAAATATTTTGAGGTTATTTACATAATAAAGTACAAAATGGACATTTGCCATTTGCTTTATTTCCTGCGTAATTAAGCCAAGGAAATGTTTTGGCTTTTCCAAGTTTTTCTTTAATTTTTTGCATCTTAATTCATTTCATAATATGAATGAAATGCAGGTAATACAGTTTAATAACTTTATAATTTCTGTAAAGCTGTTAAGCTTCTAGCATTAAAGAACACAAAATGTGTTTATTTCATTTGGTTTTATTGCCTTATTTTTACATGTGTACATGCACTTCATCATTCTTGTATAAACAACACCAGATGTAGCATACTTAGAGGGAAAAATCCCATAGCAACTGGTATTAAATATGGGTATGAAATTTGTTATTGAAGTGAAAGCTGTATTAGTCAATCAGATTCTGAACTCACATGGCTAATGGGAAACACAAAAAAAGAGAAAAAGTAGAGAAGTATTAAAAACACAATTGTGTTTCATGTATGCAAGTGTTATAAACACTATTGCAATTTAAGTGTTATAATAATTCTTTGCATTTCTGCCTATTTAACAATCACTACAACAAAATCAAATATGCTACATCTTTACAAGTATTTGATTCAGTTCTAGTTCAGAAGACCATAAAAATCTCAAAGGTTCTTGTGATTTGTATATATTTTCTTCATTATTCACTTATTAAGGCGAGATGCATGTACAAAAACAAATCTTACAATTGTTGCAAAAAAGGCCATCACATGAAAGAAAGCAAAAAAGTAGTGAGGATGAATGACCTAACATTTCTCTCGTGATCCGTAGAGATAAAATATGATATAATTTGTTTCGTGAAGACTACAAACTGTGATCGAGCAAATCATTAAACGACAGTTACGACGCGCACATCTGCATTCATGTGTGGCCAACGAATAGCTCGTTCGTCAATAGTTAAAAAGGCGTCCGTCGTAGAAGCCAATGCAACCACAGTAGACTCGCTTTTATGAAATTTTGTTTTTACAGTTATTTTCATCATAAAATCGCTTGCCAAATATGCGAAAAACACATATACGTTTTCCTCACTCTTTCTTAAGGGAGAGAGAAACTGTGAAATTTTCTGTTGAGCGGCCAATTTCGGTAAATCTCAGCGGAAATAGGTCAATTCCTCCATTTTTTGGCGTCAGCCGTTAATTAAAGCCGTGTTAGAGATAGCCGCTCCAGTTATTATAGAGCTCAATGGTTTTGACCGGTCAGTTTTTATATGACGTAGCTACCTTTGCACATTGATTGAGAAAAAGCACATGAAAATGTTTTTAAAAAGATAATCATAAATTTTTCTTACGTAAAGTTCATTCTGTAAGCCTAAAAATCCACAATAGCCCGAGGCGCTTGCAACTTTAGATAACAATGCCCCCCCTTAAAAAAGCTGCCCCCTCCTGTAAAATGAGCATTGATCCGCCCCTAAATTGTGATTCAATGAACTATAGCTTTTCAATTCGCACCTTCACTTCCCTCGGGTGGTATAGTAGGATGTTCGAGTATCAACGATCGCCGTCTTATATAATCGTCTGTTATATCTTGATGTGTACTATCCGTTGTTTTAACAGCTTCAGGAAGGGAAACTAGTACATCGCTGACCTTGTTTGAGCCAACAGAGGAAATTGCAGTAATAACAGGAGATGTTCGTGTATCTACGGTTGATGTTTGAGTCCAAACGGTAGAAGCCCGTGTACCTACTGGGGATGCGCGAGAACTTACGGGTAATGTTCGAGAGACAACAGGCGATGTTCGAGAGATAACGGGTGATGTTCGAGAGACAACGGGCAATGTTCGAGAGACAACGGGTGATGTTCGAGAGACAACGGCTGATGTTCGAGAGACAACAGGTGATGTTCGAGAGACAACGGGCGATGTTCGAGAGACCACGGGCGATGTTCGAGAAGAAACAACTGACGATGTTTGTGAAGAAACGATTGATAATTGAGTAGTTACTGGAGATGACGGTGTAGAAGCAACGAATGCTGGGACATCAACGGGAACTTCTTCATCGTCCTCAATAACGATTGGTAGATGTTTATAACTCCCCACTTCTGACGACGAAAGTCTGTTTTTCCTATAACAAATGCGACGTTTTTGGTTGTATGTACATCAGAAATAGATAATTCGCCGAAATTGATCAAAAACTTTATGGCGTTACAAATTTTTTCAAATATTGACGTTACAATTTATTACTATTTGAATATTGAAATGACACGAGAATGAATAGCATAAAAAATAAAAAAATCATAGACCTCGATGAGCATTTACTACACATGCGCATAGACAGTCCAGGAGAGAAGGGCAAACTGTAGGGGTTATTCAGCGAAGAATAGTGTTTTTTAGCTATGCAACATCTTACACCCTCTTTTTGGAATGGCATGGATCGGTGTTAAAATAAAAAACCACGACTTTTTCACAGTTGTTCAAAACTCCTTTTCCAAACACAAGCTGAATCATAAATGTCAATCTACAAACCTCTGGCGAGAAAGATGAATTTCCTCAACCCTTCTAATTTGAACATCAAGCGACTGGAAGACATTTTTCAATTCAAACTGCTTTGCTGGAAAAAGAAAATAGAATGATACAAAACAACTAAAAAGCAATCAGTAGAGGCAATTTTTTGTAGTTGAGAATGCCCTTCATTAATATTCAAATCAAGCTAAAGTTCTATGTAAACATATGTTCAGACAAGATCCCAAAATGTAATCAAGTATTTGTAAATGTAAATGTAATCAAAATGTAATCAATACATAGGTCATCGTTTTTAACAAAATATACGTATGTACATGGAAAAACCAAATATACTCTTACACTTATCAAGTGGTTATAATAATACTATAAACTAGACAGCCTGCAAATGTGGCCATTCGAAGCAAATTTTTTTGAGTTAACTCACTGTGAAAATAATAGCGCATCTAAAGAATTGAATAACGATAATGTTCTGATCTTTACATAGCAGAACCAAAGCTTGCAGGATAGCAAAGTTGGCAGTACCTACTTTCTTATGTTTAAAGAAATGGAGATTCTGCAATTTATATCAAACTTGTTACCTGCAATACTTTCCACTCTCTGCTCCAAAGCATTTGTCAAACTAAAATCAAAAAAAGTTATTGTGAGAATAAAAACAGAAAACTAAAATAAAATAGAGAGAATAAAATGAAGATATTTAAGTAAAATATAACTGGTAGAAAAGACTTTAACAGGTAAAAATTTTCCAAATACGCACAACTCTATGATTAAGCAAATATATTCATTCTACTATGTCTATTTACATAGATCAGTGGTTTGGACACCCTTCATGTATATTGAAATCATTCTGTGTCAGCTAAAAACATTCACACATGAAGCATAATTTTTTATACCAATATTTATTATACAGTTTCTTATGAGAAATTTTCTATTTTTAAAAATTTAAAAACAAAAAACAGCCATAAGTATGCATATATTTTATCTGGCTATGGTCAGCAAAATAAAAGGTACTATGAAACCTTTAAATAAATCTTTCTGTATAAATTTCTTCATTCTACTTGTTGTTTTCCCGTGCAACACAGGAATGAACAAGTTCCATATTTCGTGATTGCTCACGAAACAGGCTTGTCGGGATGAATCTGTAGTGTTCGTGATTTTTTCAACATCACTACATATATTTACGCTCTGCTCTCGGGCATCAAGCACTGTTTTGTACGGAGAATCATCAAACATAAACTTTCAATACATATATATATATTCTACGGACTACCAAAAATCCACAAAGTAAACAAACCGCTTCGACCTATCGTATCGCTTCCAGGATCACCTACGTATGAACTTTCAAAACATCTTTGTAACATTCTCTATCCATTAGTCAAAAATTCACCTCACACCATCAGAAATGCCACCACCTTCCTCGCCAATATTGAAAACATTAAACTACGACCAGACGAAATCATATTATCCTACGACGTGACATCTCTCTTCACATCTATACCACTAGATATAGCCAAACAAATTACAAACGAACTATTCACAAACGACAAAACTTGGCAAGCTACAACACAACTAGACAAAAATGACATCCTAGACTTACTCAACCTTTGCCTCTCTACTGAAATCGCCGTCCAAAACTCGTACTACAGACAAATTTCAGGCACACCAATGGGGTCACCACTATCCACCTTCCTTACAGAAGCCGTCATGCAACACTTCGAAACACAATCAATCACAAACAACACAAACATCAGACTATGGAAAAGATATGTCGAAGACATCTTTGCCATAGTCAAGAAAGAGAAAACTGAACAAATCCTACACACAATAAACAATACCACAAAGAACATAACCTTCACTAAAACGAAGAACGTGGAAAGTAGCAGAAGAAAATGGTGCCCCTAGTAATGTTTTGAGAGGTGGGCTCATGTAGACTGCAGACCTTATTTTCCAAATAATTTGAATTGGACATTTCCCTTAAGTTTTTTTGCCTTTATTTGATAAAATACATCCTTCAAGGCCCCACATCATGGAGCCCCTTCGTCCCTTCCCTAATGAATGCAATGCCTATCATTGTGGTACTGAAACTTTCATATGCAACGGCGTAGCCAGCATGAAAGTTTGGTTGTGCTATGTAAACTTTTCTGCATTCACTCACTGCAAAAACAATAGATTTATAAAGAAATGAATAATGAAATATACATATCACAACTGAATTTGCAGACTGGCTATGCCACTGTTCATATGTCTTAGCTTTATTGTTATATAAACTACAATTCTATTAATATAAACATCAAGCTTGTAGATATGTGTTATGATCCCATGCACAGAGCCCCTACTAAAAAATCAAAACAGGTTACTTATAACACACATGTAGAAAAGAGTGACAATAAACGATCATAGAAGTTAAAAGCAAACCAACTGGCAATAAAAAATAATCATTCAACAAAGCAAAAAAGGACCCATGTATTTGAAAGTACTTTGGACTGGAGTCACAACTAATGGAAAAAGGAAGCACTTCTCTTTTTTAATACACTGAACTATATATTCTGTTATTGAAATACTAATAGCTCTGAAATCTGAAATTGCTCTGAAATGCATTTTGTTTATGACAATGTGAATCTTTAAATGATTATGCTGCCAATTATTGTAAGATCTTTATCTAAAATATGAGAAATGCATTTTAGCAACTCTGATGTCTCAATTTTCCAAATTTTCATGATTGATTGAATGGCCGCCTCAGGCTTGAAATGACAGGACCCCCAGAACATAGTTAAGTGTTATACAATTCCATTAACAAAATCCACATTATGAAACTTTTAATTGCCAGGTTAATTAGAATGCTAAAAAGGTATATGTTAGCTAAAAGCCCACATATTTTCTTACGGTGCTTTTTTGTTAGTAAATTGCTGTACATACATAGCTCCATCATGTATGGTATTTTTATGGATGTAAGAAAGTCTACATTGCGACTTATGAATATGCTACTGCCTACATTCAAAACATTACTTTATTAGGATTTACCACATTTCTACTTGCAGTTCAAAAAAAACATCATCAACTCAAACAAATAATTTATATTGTATCAATTTATGTTTTTTATCCAGCCTTGACATCAAGCACATGAGCAGATTTTCTGGGGGGGTAGGAGGGTGCCATCTCCCAAATATCAGATTTCACCACACTAAATAATTTGTTTATCCCTCTGAGAACTTTTCAACACCTCCTCTCCCCCCCATACACACATATAATCAGTAATGCAACTGAGATTTTCTGGGCCATGTTTCAACTATTCACACGACCTTTGCTTACTGCCCTACACAAGGGCTTCTAAAAAGACCTTAACTTTGTCTTTCATTACTTCTTCACAACCCTATAAAATTTTTTGCACCCTCTCAATGAAAAATTTCAAATAAAATTAGTACTTAGTAATACATTATAAGTATATTGTAGTGTATTATATAATTACTTTAATTTATATATAAACAAATATTTATGTATAACATATGAACTTTGGTCAACCGCCATCGACATGTATTGATGTGACACACTTTGATGGTTTCTGATGAATTGATATAATCGATCGCTTAGCGTGCATCGAGACACTTCAAAAATTTGTCTTCCTCACTACCATGACAATAATTTCATGGGGCACATCAAAGATCTCATTGAAAAATGACATACTTTCAGACTAAGACTCGAGAGCAAACTTACAAACTTAGGCCACGCTTTCCAGTGCTTTGTGCTTTTTCGAACTCTGCATCGATTAAATTTTGTAGTTGCGCGATGTCCATGGCTGGATATGAATGAATGATATTTATCGATCACATAAGAATTTTGCAGGGCATTTTAAAAACACAAGTTTTCAAGCAAAGCTTGCTAACTTCTCGGGATTCGAACATTTGTAAACAATTTGCAATTGAATGACTAGAATTTCACAACATGCGCCCGCAAATTTACTGCTCTACAGTCAGCGTTAAAACATTAATAACTAGAATTTATAGACATTATGGTTCCAGTCTGCAAATTTGCTTCCGTTACTTAGGTTTTTCTGTCAATCTGTTTTTGTCTATCAATTACTGTTTTTCTTTCAATTGCAGCAAAAACAATGCATTTCTAAAAAAAATTAATACTTTACAATGCTCACATTTGTAATGAGTTGTTAGTTTATGTTAACGAAGTCAATGTTTTACCAATAAAACAAAAATCGAAGCAATTTGAGATATTCCGATTCGAGTGTTTTGCATTCCAAAATATTATGAACTCAGGTAATCAGAAATTACTGCTGCTCATATTGATGCAATTTTGTGAAGTTTAGTGCGGAGAAAGACGATATGGAAGGAAAAAATTCTTAAAACTACTTACAAATAAAGATCATGTGCTTTATTGCTGATCTCTGTTTCTCCTTACAGTTTTTCAAAAAGAGGTTCTAACGTGACTCACTTAAAAACTTTTCAAGGAAAAATTTAATGAAATAGACAAAACATTTTGCGGCATTAAACGTTAGGCGAAGAAGAGACGCCTTCTTGAAATAATTAAATATGTTACTGACTGCAGGCAGTTTAATGGGATAGGAAACTAATCCATTTTGTCAATATAAGAGTTCATGTAAAAGAGGCTTAAAATTGATAAAAAGGAAAATGCCTCGAAATCTTTTACTTTATCAAGTTTCTGCAAAAGAGGATGAAGCACGATACGCTCATCAATCAATTGTATCAGACCTTAACTTGGCAAATTTAGCTGAACAATTTCAAGAGCTGAAAGATAGCACTGACATACCAAAAGATAATCCTCATAAAGTCTTGCAAACCATATAGTTAAAGGAGATGAGTACTGTATGTGTCTGTCGCTCGTGGTCACATTCAGTCGATTAACTCGATTGTGAGAGTCATTCCATTTTACAACAAGGTTAAATCCATCTGCATATCATCTTTGAAACGCCAAACTGTAAGCGACTTTATACATTCATGTAAATATGCATTGTCTGATTTTGATCCAAGACCACCAATTTTAAAATGGAAGGATGACAAGGAGTATAGAAGAAAAAATAATTTAAAAGCGCCTCAGCAAGATTGTTTTCAGAGAAAAAATCAAGTTTGAAAACTAAAAATCCAGCAGAAAATAAAGGCGATGGACATAAAGCGAAAATTTTAGACTAATGTGTCAAATTAATTGACACGTCTGTATTTAATAACATTCTCAACATTTGAACAAGTTTGGTTAAATTACAAAATAAGATTGTCTTATATACTATTATTAAAATTTGAGGCAATCCTTTTCTATCGGTTTCATCATGCCAAGCTTGAGAAAATGTGCAGTGATGAAAAATTCTTAAAATTAAGTCTAAAACTAATCATTAATCTACCTGCCAGCAAAACGTAAACAATGCAAGTCATCTATTGATGATTCGCTGATTTCATAAGCTAAATGAGGCAGTGGCTTACATATTGATTTGTGTATTTGCGATGGTTTCAAATTTAAACTATAGAGTTGAATACATTTAGAGATTAAACGTTTAGTTAATTTTGCTGTGGTTTGCTTGTCTCAACTTAAGATTTCTTAAGTTGGACTGGATGTGATATTTTATCCAATTATTGATAATTATTTGCTGTACAGCTACTATTAGTAATAGTAGCTGTACAGCAAATATTAGTTTGACTCATACAAGATTGGCTCAGTTTCACTTTGCATCTTACGTAAACATGACATACGAATGTCAGGGTATGTTTTTTTTATTTCGAGATAGAAATTTTGCAGTTACTCAATGTGTAGATTATTTGCATGTAAACATTTCATGGAAGCTTTAAACGAATATTAGAAATCATAGGAATTTCACACCTTTTAGTTAAACTCGTTGATCGAATTTTATGTCCATATAGTCATAATTAAGTCATCGCTCAAAGCCTCAAAACCGTCCATGGCAGTTTAAATCAGACTTAAAAAAATTTATGTACACTTCATGTAACATCACATCTAATAATTGGTTAGAATTGGTTAGAATAGATGATATTTGACCGTATGTCGCAAACAAGACATCAAGTTCTGTCATCTTTTATTGTGTTGTCTATTTATTTAACTCTTTGGCGACGGCACTTACATTTTAGTAAGTGACATAATTCCGAATATGATTGTTTCATCCAAAATATCTCATTAAATACTTAAGCTTTTGTAAAACAAATCACACCATTATATAGCCTGCAATCAATGCCTTCTGCTGATGTAAATCTCATTACTTGGACATGTTTTATAACGATTGAAATCGCTGTTTCTCTGCCATCAACGTAATGTATAAATTATTTAAGAAATAAAAGATGTTTACTGTGTTTGCACAGGCTTATGCAAACCGAGGAGACCTTTGGGAGAATTCGAGAGCAGATCAGTGCAAGCCAGAGACCGAAGGTCTTCGCAAGTTCTCTTTGACTGATTGATAGTTTCGATGGATTCGATTGGTTGAGCTCGAATGTGTTTTGTACAGGCTTATGCAAACACGGCTCTAGACCAATCAGCGCACGCGTTTTATTGTTTTTATTTTATAATTGATAAATGAAAGACGTTTACTGTGTTTTCACAAGCTTATGCAAACCGAGGAGACCTTTGGGAGAACTCGAGAGCTGATCAGTGCAAGCCCGAGACCAAAGATCGAGGGTTGCACCTGCTCGAGAGTTAATTTACGTGTATTGCACGCGCAAAGCTACACGTTACGCGAAAATTTTTAATGAACATGTTTTTACCGAAGCCTTTTTCTGATTGTATTCAAAGTATAAACGTAGAAAAATATTGTGGCATTAAAAGTTATGGGGCTTAATCTATATTCAGTCAATTATTTTGTTTACTATTGAATACGTATTTTGAAATGAAAAACAAAGCTATCGTTGATCGTTCAATTTATACAAATCGGAAACATTGTAGGAAGTGCTTGTTTATTTTAAAAAGATTCAACTGGATGTATTCAATAATATACATGCTTCTCCATGAAATATTTGTACGTACACTATTTACAGAAGCCCTTAGTTTGGGAGGATATGACGAGAATTATCATACATTATCACATGTAAGTTTGAACTAAAAATTGTGATTATTTGTAAATTTGTACGTCCACGGAAAAACGTTAATATTAATTGTTTTGTGTAGAAATACATTTACAAAACTGATGTTTGCTTAGAATTTTATGTGCTTATCTATGCTACTTTGAAATAAAAACGCTTTAGTTTTTGGCACATTCGCAGACATAGAAAAACAAACAACAACAGCAAGCCTCCTTCTATAGTAAAGCTTGGCTATGGCTTCCTTTACAAAAATGTAATTGTCAAAAAGTTGTGTATACTTGGTGTTAAGTCTCATTTGTGAAAGTTTTGCTTACCAAATTAAGACGAAAGAATTTGTTTTGTTTTTGAAGCTTCGAAGTTTGTACAAGTTATTTTACGCTTATGTCTATTGGGCCGTGTGTTTACAAATGCGAGGAAAGACTGGGCTCTACTGGCTTCAAAATATCGACTGACGTAGCCTTCCATCCATGGGCTCCAACTTCGACTGTTTGTTAATGTAATTCTCAAATTCTCGATTTCTAATGTTATGTCATTTAAGGCTGAATTCTGTCTTAGTTCAATGATTCATATGAACAAGCTGATAGGTTAGAAAGAAAGCTTTAAAGATGGCGATTCTTCTAGTCTTTAGATGGAGAATTTTGGATGAATTTTTGGCAAAATACATCGAAATTAAAATTTTAAACAATTAAATGGACGCATTTTTTTTGCTTGTACGCTAATTAAAACCTTAATATCTTGCGTAAAATTCTATCAAAACGAACAAACTTTACACTACCTAAAAGATCGTTTATTAAGCCATAATTCAATGTTGAGTATATTATTTTACGTTTTGTATATCCAAAGTTATGACACAATGAACTTCGTAGGTCGTCAACGACCGAAAATTACTAGGGACCGACGCCAAAGAGTTAAATTCGATAACACATACATTAATACTTGAATAAAGCGTGAAAAAGACATTACAACGTTAGCTATATAAGATATTTAAAAAAGTATTTTCATAATATTAGCAGACACCCCATTTAAGTTTTTATGTGGATGCCACCCATTCGATGCATCGTTCTCTACCAGAAATCATGGTTACCCTTCGTCGATTAATTACCAATCTGAAGAAGACAATTCTGTTTTCATTACGTTGGAGATCTCTCATTTGCAACTGAAATTCCTTGCCCAAATCTTTTAAAATAGGTAACTTTATTGTCTTCGACCTTTTGGCATCTTGACGTTTGTGATACACGTGGAACAAGGCGCGAAGGTAATCATGAAGTTCTGAAGTATTGTTTAAATACTCCCTAAAAGTCGTTCCGCCATCGTTTGCAAATGTTGCATCATTTGTGTCCTGCATTACAATCCTCCTCAAGTGCTCTGTCACAAAGGGATTTGTAAATGGCGTCATGCTGCTTACGTCAGCATCAGGACAAAATTTCTTCCAGTTATGAGTTTCTGTAATCAATGTTGCATACTTGTTTCTTCGATTTAGCAACACAGAATAATTTCTAAAATAAAAAGTACGTCAAAAGGAAAGTTAATTCGGATATAAATTTTGTAAAATGTTGTAGAGCGGAATAATTTTTTTCGCTTAAAAAATCCCTAAAAAATTTTTACGGTACTGCAACAAACGATATTATCTTGTTTGTTTCTCAAACATTCAGTTAAACATTAACTTTTTATTCGAAATATGTTTCCTGTTATATTTCATAAAAGTCGGATGGTAATAAATTTTGACTAGAAATTTGCTTAAGAGAAAACAAGAGTTGTTTATCAAAAGTCATTTGATATAATAGATAATGTATTTGCAAAGTTTTTATAGACCCTTACAATACCTTTTTATACTTCAAACATCTTAAAAAATCCTAAACATACCTTAACAAGTCCGGAAGAAAAATATAGTCGATGAGATTAGATGTCAAAATTCTATCAAATTTCATGCCCTTGTTTATTAACAAATCATTGTTAATGCAGTTTCCGAGCAGAATTTGAAAGTTCACATTTCCAGATGTAATTTTATTTATGAAACGACGCAACTGATGCTCAATATATTTCCCAAACATTTTGACCAGTGAATTATCGTGCTTAATTTTCTTCACTTTCAAAAAATCCCAGCCGCAAAATGGTAAAACGTCTGCAGGAATGCAATAGTTGTACGATTCGTCTCTTATCATAATATTCCCCTCTTTAACTGAAATGTCAGGTCCTGTTAGTGTAGGATTCTCATAGTTAAGAGAGTTTCCAGTACGATGAAAAATACCGTCTGTCATGTACTTCTCGGCAGATGGAATATGTTGATGAGGGATGCATTTATAGTAATTCTCAATGCCAATAATATAGTCAGGATACGATGCAAGTAGCATTTCACGCTCTTTGCAAATATTGTTACTTCCTTCTACCTTCATGTCGAACCATCGTCTCCAAACTTTTTGATATTCAATAAGGTTGTTTTCATTCAAATTCACAATTCCATTAGTGACACGGTTGAAAACTTCAGCATTTTTCATCAACAGAAGTTCTTCAAGCGATGAGCTCAAAACACTGTATGTAATTTGACTTAGTTTTGTCGAATACCAAATTTCTGTCACTATTTTATCAACATTTGAAACACCTACAGAAGAAATGAAATTTTTCTATGATTGCTTTTGGAGCAATTATTCACTGCATTGATTGATTACCAAAAAATAGAAATTTTTAGATATTTGAATACAAATGATGAATTTATAACAAAACAAACGTGCCTGGTTAACAACAAAAATTTGGTACTGGCAGGTCAAAATGCAGCCCATCTGAAGAGAATGGTGGTGTGTAGGAAAGCTGCGACAGAATGTAGATGATCAAAGTAAACTTTCACATGACTGACTGTGCTATAGCACAGAGAGACAGGTAGAAAGATGCTTGTGATGTTGTCAAGAAAAAACGTTGACGTAATGAGATTTGATGGAGACGGACAAGCAAATGCAGGAGCTTATACAAGAAAGACAACATCGAAGAAGAAATGAGATGACAAAAGGACTGAAGAGAGTACATAGGAGTAAAAGAAGACAAGCCATTAGTCTAAAATAGACGTAGAAAAGGCTAAAGAAAAGGCTTATCATGACTGTTATAATTGATTGGTGAATAAAAACGCTGCTAAAACAGATTTGATAGGTAAATACATAAAAATTCAAAGGATCTGAAGCAGGTTATTTATGGTTGATAAAGACAGAGATGGAAATTATAAACACGCGCACATACACCCACCAGAAGTGTGATAAAGAATATGGTAAGAGTACTTTCAAAGTTAACGGATTACGAAAACGGAGAAAGAACGTCAAATTCAGAAGTTAATTGCTATAGTGTATAAGAATGCAAAGATTAGTAATGACAATGTTTAAGAAAAGAATGTGATAAGGTAAGACGTCCTGTCCTCATAAAAACCCTGTGGAAGTGTGGAATGCCTTGCTCAAGTGCCTTTTGTGTTTGTGAGAAATAAGTACATCTGAATTACAGTAGACGTTAGATAATATAAATTCTAAGCTAAACAAGCCAGGCATAGGAGAATTAATCGTGTACATAATAGTGAGTATACACTTATAAGGTAAAGTCGTAAAGGGCTTAAAGAACGATCTGTAAGAGGTGGTATTTTCAAACACTGAAAGAGGACGAGAACTTAATTTGATTAAGAAAAGAGAATAAAAAGATTAATAGAAAGACATAAATTATTTGACGTAGCAATTGCTATGAGAAAAAGATGGAAGAGACACAGAAGAAAAAAAATTTAATAGTCACGAAAAATATTGGGAATAACGTCAAATACAAATAAAAAACAACGTGCTATGAAGAAACGAAAAATAAATATCCATGGTTGAATATTTGTATCAGTTGAATTGATCCATTTATTCGGCCTTTACAAGTCAAAAACATTGTAATAAATAATAATAATAAATAATATAAATAATTTTAATTAATAAATATGAGATAATTTTTCTTTCAGTAATATTCTTATGAAATAGAAACATCGCAACCGTTGAAGCGTTAAATGACATGGATATTTACGTCTCGATAGAATTGCTGACGATACAAGCGTTTGCAGTCGGACCGATCGGATGGATCGTCTCTATCGCCCGAAAAGTGTTTCCATATAATCATCCGAGTCCTTTCAACAACGTTGAAACGATTCGGATGATTCGGACGAAACCTGGCTTTAGTAGACATCGTGGTTAGCCTGAAAACAGGCTTCTCCAAAAACTGAACTCACCTTTTATCAAAATAAAAAGCAGCAGAACCAATCTTGCCAGTGCACATTCCTCACAATCGTTTAAAACGAACAACAGATTTCTTGAATATGTTTCAGGCAACGATGCACAAGTCAAAACAACGTTCCTCAAATCACCAACACCCAATACTAAAACATTTAAATCTGAAGCATAGTCGATGCCTTCATTTTCAGATAAATTAAGATAGTCATACGCTGGGCATATTGCCCCAGTAATAGTGTTTAGAAAGATATCTTGCTTCATTAGCAAAGAAATAGTTGTCAAGTTCACCAGCAAGTAATCTAATCTTGTCTGTGCTATTTTTACAATCAACTTTGTGCTCATTTCGATGATTTAGTTGACATTTCTTATCACAGTAAAAAGCACGGTAACAGCCACTGCAAGTTTGTAAAGATGAACTTCTTTTACGACATGATGAACATTTCTTCATAATTCTTGCTGGGTGACATTCAGCGTCTGTATGTCTTGCTTTGTCATTTTCTTTACATTTTATACTGCAGTACTTCGCCACTTGACATAAATCACAAACTACAGTTGCCGAATTTTTCCCACAGCGCCAACAATCAGGAAATCGTGGCATTTCATTCAGTACCAGCAAAATGGTTTAAAATAAAAATTATACGCAAATACTGTTACATAACCAAAATTATTAATCAAAATTCCAATTTAATGAGGCAGAAAAAAATGTAAATTACGTTTTTCTTGAAATTTGCATTTTTCATTTATATGCAAATTGATTTGCATTTTTCACATATAAACACCATTGTTTGGTGTTTAATTCGACGTATATCATGTACGTACGGTGTCCTGACGTTTTTTGTATATGTATAAGATCCAAGAGAACCGTTGAGTATCAAAGTAAAAAGAAGTTTTCTTTTTACTTATCATTTAATATTAAGTGCGCAAAATAGCTCAGAAAGTGACAACAGCCAATGAGCAATAAGAACGATGACAATTCACTAATAACAATTATTATAACACGTCCGTTGATTGGTGTATTTTAGCTGATTTTGCATTAGCCTGTGCAAACCAATCTGCATGAACTCTATAAATGGAGCTAAATCCAAATAAATTTGTGAAAATTTCCATATCAATCATCAATGGATGTTAAAGTAGGGAAAATACGGCGCCAATTTAAAAATCGAAATGGCTTCGATAACCCTAGCTTTGTTGACGTAATTGGAAATAGGAGGAGAAAAACAACGCATAAGTAATTAACACTGCTTTGCTAAAATTTAAAAACGAAAACATTTATATTACAGAAATGACGAGTATTAACCAGTTTTTTAGCACTTACTAGCTCTTATCTTCAATGGAATTTTCATTATGATCTATAAGGAGTATATGACTGCCTAACTTTAATTTTCTTAGTCAAACTTCAAGTCGAAGATATCTCGGGAATGAAAAGGCTAAAATTTTAGTTTTTATAACTCCACTCAGCTTGTGAAACTGCTAAATCAGCAAACAAAAAGTTAAAAATACATTCTGAATTGGGTCGCACAGTTAGAAATAAGCTCAAATATATTTACAATGTCCTTATTAATAAGAAAATAAAATATATCACAAAATATAAATGACGTTTTGTTTGCAGGAAGAAGCCACGCGAGGGAGGTTAAGCATTGTTACAAAACGTAAACTGGGCAAGTCAACGATAATTAATTCAATCAAAGGATTGAAACGTCTTTGGATAATATTTAGTTTTCCTTGAGCTTTCTGCAGTAGTCCCATATGGTTCTGCACCTTCCAGACAGCTCCTGGAGTTGCATGTGGAATGGCATTTTTCTAATCACTGATCAAAACGTATTTACATAGCAGGAGTAGCTGTCTAATGGCTATACGCCACTGCCCAGAAATAATCCGATTGAAAATCTCCTAATTATTTTAATAGATTTACCTAAAATGATGTCTTTCGGGTCGTGGGGTTTGCTAGACTTGTCAGTTTGTTCTTCAGTCCGTTAGTCAGTCTGTCATTTTCTGACCAAAGAGAAGCAGCAAGAGTGTATTGAGAAGTGGCTACGGAGGGCTACTGGTGAAGTTAAAATTCTGTGAAAATAAGCGGTGTTCAACCCATTTTACAGATTGCTTACTAAATTTTTGTGTGCTTTAAATTCTGCATAGCCAAGCAATCTTAATTGTAACGTTTTATAAAATATCGACAATAAATGTTCTGTCGACTTGAACTGTAGGATGACATTGAAGTATTGTATAATAGATTAAAAATCTCCATACTGGTAAGTTTTGACTTTCCTTTACTATTTCAAAACTTTAACATTTTTTTGCCCTATTAGTCAGGCAGCGCTAGTGAACTCTAATACAACCGGAAGGCTAACTCTATATAAATATGCCTAGACTTCTCTAAAGTCAACTTGAAACTGTTTTACCGCTTCACGTGTGTCTCGCGTGGACTGTTTTATTTACGTGACGGATTGTTATGCAAAAGCTTGCTTCGAAATGGAATGTTAAAACGCTAAAAATACTTTATTTTTTGGAAAATCAATGGCGATATTGGGTTGTTAATGTTTTATGATGCATTGTTGATGTACCGAGTCATGTTTTTCATATGTATTGCTATTGCACATAAAACATAACACTGAGAATTGCTTTTAAGTATGAAGTTCTCATTTGTCGTCGAAAGACGAAAAATCTTAACTTAAAACTGATAACAGATTAACAGGTAGACTATATCTTCTTCAAACGCTGTGCAAAATACACACAATTTACGTAATATAACATGTTTCACAGCAATTTTATTGCTTTGAAAGTTAGACTTGTTTTGTAATAATTTTACATGCTCTTTTTGCAATGTGTGAAAGTGATGATTTGAAATTTTGAACTGTGGGTGATTGTTGGTTCTTGTCATTTACTTCTCCCACTTCTTAAGAACTCGTGGAATATTTGACATGCATCCCAAATTTGTGCATTGAGCATTTTATCAACAAGTTCATGCTTATAAATAAACGGCCAATTGTACAACATCACAAGTATTGCTAAGATGACTTGTTCTACATAAATGCTAAAAAGCAACCATCATCCTCAGTGTTTTGAACCACGGTTTTAGAATGATTATAAAACAAGCAGAGTTATGTCATATATCAAAATTTTACAGTAAATGATATCATACTGATTGTAAAAATAGTTTTTTCTTGTAATACGGATGATAATAAATGTATATGCAATATTGATATTTTAGCATTTGTCTTTAAAGAGTTTGGTCATATTTGTGAAAATTTATGATGATTCTATAATATTAGACTAAATAATCTTTTTCATACTTGTATTTTATTACAATTTGTGCTTGAATGTTTCAAATGTTATGAATGTGGAGTGTCATTTGTGTTTTTGTCTTTTTTTAGTGGGTATTGACTCTTTTGACTCTTTATGGTGCAATTAAAAATAACACAATAATATGGAATAACACTTTTTTCAAAACGAACTCAACATATTTTTTGCCAACTTTTTGAAATAATTTGCAAAGTGTTTTTCTTTTTGTTTACGCTCTGAACTTTCAAAAAGTACTGGGGCGAGCTAATTTTGCTCAGAAACACAAAAATTACCAAAAAACAGCGTTTTTTGCCCTGACAGCTTCATTTTCAAAGATTCAAACAATATTATAAGCATAGACAAGTGTATTTTACATCCCTTTAATGAAAAAAAAACGAGGGGTGTCACTTTTGCATTCAAGTTATGAGGCATGTTTTCACGTGCCAAAACAAAGTTCGCTTTTCATCCTTGTAAAAAGAAGCTTAAACATGTACAAAAGTCGTTCAAACTTGTTTTTATTAAAGTCCAATCATTGTTTAAAGTTTTTAGACATTAAGCTGGCTCGAAGACCACTGTTTTTTGCAAAAAATCCGGCAATTTCGAAGTGATGTCTTTCGCCTCCGTACCCTCAATTTCGTCGATCATACAGGCTTCAAAGGTGGCGGCCAAGTTAGCCTTCTAGTTGTTATAGACTTCACTGAGATAGACGTAGTAAAATCATTGGTCTCTTTTAAACTCATTGGATATACAAGGGGGCATGGGAACTGTTGTCAAAAACATGGATGCCAAAAGAAAATTTTGGACGAAAAATATCCTCTTGAAAAATTTTTTTTCTTTCCCTCCTCATTTCTAATGCTGGTCAATTCATAATACTGTTACAATGAGTGAAAACAACCACCGAAACCTAAATAATGAAGATATGCTGTAGCGTTTTATGTAATGCACTCTTTAATACAAAAACAATCTACGGTAAAAACTTTTGTTATGTTATAATGCCAATTTAGTTCTATATAAAGCTATCTTGTGCGCGAGTTTGCTGTTGTAAGTTCTGTCCACACTACGGTTAAAAATTAGAACTGATCTTTAACAATATTTTTACCTTCCTGTACGAATTATGGGTACATGGATTAACAAAAATTGTCGTCTATCTTTCTTTTGCACAAAAACACCAAATTATGTCACGTTAAGACAAGTGCTTTAGAAGTATTGGGAGTGTGATCCCCTTCAAATACTACTCTGTGAAAACATAATGCACGATTTTTTAAGTAATCGCCTGCTTTTGAGGATATTAGTGATTAAATGTCCCGCAAACCGAGAAAGATTTAATAAAAGTAGGAGTGCTCAGCCTGAGGTCAAGGCTTAAAGGTATTAAACTATAATCACTAATATTTTCAAAATACAAAAGCATGCGTTTAGTTTGTAATAACATGGTTGCGGAAGGAATATTGAATGCATTGAACTATTCTGTTTTAGTTGAATACTTTGATAAAATTAGTTCCATTCCATGATTTGAGTGTTGACAACCATTGATGGCGCTCAATGTGTATTTTCATGGTGAGCGAGGGAATAAAGAAATTTATCAAGCTATTCAATTCTGTTGTTGAATTAGTTCAGTGAACCTGTGTATGAATTTGTTTTCAAATCAATAATTGTGAAAGTTTTTTGATGGTTGATCGCCAGTTTTCACAAGTTACTGACAAGGAAGTTGCCGACGCGAGGTAAAGACGATTTCTGTTACCACACAACGACATAAATTGAGGAGCACAAATAACCTAAGGCTTGTGATAACGAGTTTGGCGATTTTTAACAAAAAGACGAAAAATATACTTGTGTCTCAAGTATAGATGACTTGCTTACATTTTGCTTGCAGGAAGATTCGGTCTAGTGGTTTTGAACAACACAAGCTACAATGGTCAACCTCTCTTTAGATTAATCTGCCTGCCAGCAAAACGGCAACAAGGCAAGTCATCTATTGACGATGTAACAGTAGATCAAGGGGACTTTCAACTTGGTATACTCGCTCTCGAAGTAGTGTGGGTAATTCAATCAACTCGCCGAAGACATCATTCTATTAATCTTTTCCATTCGCCAACATTGAAGCAGTGGAAAAGTCAAGATGCATGCAGACGCAATTCCAAAAGGCAACGAGAATAAAATGTGGAAACAAGCGTGGTGTTGAAAACGGATTTTTAGTCTAAACGTCCCTAATGAATATATTGATGAATATACCTCATCCCAATAAGATAATTACGTCAGTAATACGTCAGTATACGCCCTATGATAACAAAAGATCCTGAGGCAACCATGTTATTAGAGAGTTTTGCCGTCAACGCCAAACTAAAGCTGTCTTTTTTTACTAATCAAACTTTTCTGAAGCGTATTCACTTTAATTTCCAGATTTTTTGGCAATTTCAACAATATACAGCGTTTTTACCTGACGTCAAAGCCGTCATTCGAGTTCCCAAATAAAAAGAATTATAAAGATCTGTTGTTTGGTACGACAGTGTGGTTTCTCCCACCATAGTCATGTCAATCCTAAGGTACGAGCGAAAACTCTCCAATGGTTTTTTATAATATTTGTACTCGAATTTTGAAATAAAATCGTGCATGTAGCTAGCTAGTTTTTGGCAATAATGTATAAAAAGTCAAGAAATAAAACCACTAACCAAAAGGATTTCAAATAAGTTCTTTCATTTAAAATAAATTAATTTACAGTGCTCGTATTTTAACAGTTTTTATTTAATATTTTGTTTATATACATTCAATGCAGTTTGCATAGCAGTTATAGCATTTAACCTATTTTAAGGCTTCATTCCTCTAGCAAAAATTTCTCAGTAAGATACGACCATTTTCCAGTCCAGCTAGTAATGTTCTTTTTCAAGTAACAAGTTCTCGTTGCCTGTGAGTAATAGTTCATCCTCCCAATTTAAAAGTCAACAAAATTCAATAAAATCACTAAATGCTAACAACATCCGCGTCCTGCACATGAAGATAATTAACATTTCTCACGAAAAATTTGGCCCATGGAATGAATACAGTTCGATCACATGCGGCAAAACTTGGAAAACCTAATCATTGATATTTTGAACACGCAAAATTTAATATATATTTTAGAATAAAACTTTATCATGCTTATATTACGTTATTCATAAGTCTAATTTCTTATTTCGAGTCTAGCAGTGCTGCAAATATACGGTTTGAGTTTAAAGAAGCGACAATACTTAGCAGCTACTTTGGAAATTCAGTCAAAGAGTACCGCCTGTCAGGCTGCCGTACCGTGCTGTGCCATGCATAAAGTTCCTATATACTTCGATATATAATATATAACAATCTTTTTACATCAAATTTCACAAAAAGTGAAATGATCAACTGTACAAGGTTATACAACCAATCTTCCTAATTACTATTTCGATTTCAAATTTTACACAAGTCTACGAAAACGTTTTCATCGGCTTTGTAACATCTTGTCCCACTTGGTCTTACCGGAGACATAACATCTGACGGGAATTTAGTTTCTCTATTTCAAAGTTGACTTCATTAGAGATGAAAATTCCTCCACTACGGTGTCACTACTTGACGAACTCCAAGACTCAAAATCATCTTCTGATTCCGTACCGTTGGAATTTGTCACGCACGTGGCAAAAGATGACTCGCTGCATGCTGTTTCGTAATCATCGGAATACAACTTTTCCCTTCGATTGTACTTGAATTCCGAAATACTTGCCCTGTAGACCTGAGTTTCGTGGAAGCAACTAGCAATAGAAAATAAAACAACACAAAATAAAGTTCAACTTCTATATTCTTTGTAACAAACATAAACTGAAAAACGTAATTATTTAAGAAATAAAAGATGTTTACTGTGTTTGCACAGGCTTATGCAAACCGAGGAGACCTTTGGGAGAACTCGAGAGCAGATCGGTGCAAGCCCGAGACAAAAGGTCGAGGGTTGCACATGCTCGAGAGTTATTTCATTTATAAAATAACAATAATGCGAAACAAATGATTGTAAAACAATCATTTCAATATTCCTCCAACATGTATTCATGATTGATTTGCAATTTCTCTTTGATTGATAGATTGTTTTGATTGGTCGAGGTCATATCTGTTCTGCACAGGACCAATTAGCGCAGGCGTTTCATTATTTTTATTTTCAGTTATAAAATATCATCGTAATCATGAGAGGGTTTCACAACAACAACAACAACAGCAACAACAGCAACAACAACAACAACAACAGCAACAACAACAACAACAACAACAACAACAACAATATGAAACTCATACATAAAACGACGTAGCAATTCGAAACCGTTAGATTTCTGTGTACATTGAATTTTCCACGTGCATATGAATACTGAATACATAAATAACGCTTCAATATGTATGCCTGGTACTGAATTCTTGGGGGAATCCATGCACGTGTTAAGATAAAAAGACTGCGTTTATACTCCCACCTATAGGTAGTACAGGATGAAGAAGCTCGCAATAAATTATTTATCTATCTATCTACATATATACATACAAATTACTGATACTTTACCCGTTAGAAGATGAATCCCTCTTTTGATATATTTCATAGTGAACAATTGCATCGTTGACGGTATGAAGAAGAAGATCAAGAAAGTTCACACCAGTAGAAAGCTTGGGTAGACTTAAAAGAATGCTACAGCAAAAAATATGGACAAAGATTTATGTAAATGTTTGAACTTGTTATCAATACATCAAAATTAAAAAATAGTTCCACATTGTCAGAAGCCAGGAAAATTGTATGACTAACCTCTCTGCCAGATCAGACAACATTTCTATAGTCATGACAAATGTTTTGAAAAAAGCGCTGAAAATAACTCTTGTTAAAAAACACGACAACTCTTTCTCTGTAAGAAGTATTTCCATCTTGGCCTGTTCAAGAACTGAAAAAAATTGTTCTTTTTTTAACTACATGAAAAGTGAAAAAGAAACAGGATTTGTACATGAATTACAGTAAATATAATTAAGATCACAGTCTTCAGATAACTTTAATTTATGGCAGTAAAAAATATTTATGGAATTTGTGTTGGATTGTAGACAGTAATCAGTTCGTATAGATAATAGCTAATACAGTTTCGAGTGCTGTTACGAATAAGCAAGCACCAGGGAGTATTTAAAGACTGCAAGCAAAACAGCCACTACCTGATCCTTTCAATTCTCTGCGTTGTTTTGTAATTCTTGAATTTCACACAGTTGCAATTGTGGAAACCGTTTATTAACTTACGTGGCGAAGACTGTCGCCTTTTTTCTTTTGAATTGAAAAGAAGCTTGTTTGGCTTTCACTGCTTTTCAGCTGATTAGTTTACAGTATTTACAGTGCATTACAACTTTTCTACAGTGCAATTGCACGCACTTTTTCACTGTGAAATTACAAATAAACTGCGCTGCAATCAACCATTCACTGAATCGAGAAACACCTCATAGTATCATAAAATAACTTGATTAATAAAATTTACTTACAATGATCCAAATCGCATTCTCCGCAAGATCCTACGGCATCGATAGCTACAACTTTCTTTTTTTCTACTTTCGTTATCACGGGAAGTTTTTCATTCGAAACGAATTTTTGCAAATTTCCAAAATTACTCATCTCCTGCACAGAGCACTTCGACTTCTTCTCTATCAGGAATTCGGGATCTAAAATCATAAGGCCCATGCATAACTATTTTTGACAAAAGTGTAAGAAATCGAAGCAACCATATGGAGTAGGGGCATTCATTTCGCATGAATTAAGTCCAACATCTAGGGGGGTGATCGGTCATACTTAATTCACAGGCAGAAATTTTTCCTTTCTCGATTTTCCGGGAGTAGTATAGTTATCGGTTCCGAAGAAGGCAGGGTTGGCAGCATTTCTCTATTCTAACAATTTCTAGATTTCTGGCATTGAGGGAAATAGGCGATCTCCCAAAGTCCGTATTTACATATTTCGATGACATCTCCCTCGAACAAGAGCGGATATAGGATTCAATTCAGTCAGGAAGGGTGCATCTCTTGACATGTCGCAGTACCATAACATTTACATTAACAAACTATTGCGTTGTCCAAGCTTAGCCAGGGGTGCGCATTCGTGCACTTATACCTCCGGTTCTACAAATCATACTTTACTTTTGACGGCCATGTTCTTATGGAAGGAAAGGAAGAGAAGATAAAAGTAACGGATCATGACACGATTCATATGTGTAATGGCAGGTTTCTTTCTACTACGAGTCCACGACAAGTGACAGAGAAATTTGTAGAACTCATTTGACAAAGTTAGAAATTCAATGAACGGTGAGAAGGGAAATGTATGAAAAAAAATCCTAAAAAATGAAACTAACTTTTTGTCTCACGCATTACGGAACAAATAATGGTAAAATATAACTGTAGCTGCTATGACTGTGAAGTGGACCAAGAATCTTGTAAAACTCAAATGACAAATGTTCCGCAGGGTGCTGCAATAAAAAAACGGAGCCTGCCATAAACTCACTGAAATGATTACGCACAATAATAAAATCAGCATTTAATACAGTTTAATGAACTTGACATTATTGCTTCACTGGGATTTCATAAGGTTTTTAAAGTACATAACAAGCTAAAAGCAACCAATCCCCACGGAATATAAAACAATGTGACCCGCCACGTCAGCTGATGCCAACAACGCGTGGCATTGATAAAATGTTCTTTTGTATTTGACTACTAACATGGCTGCCGTGACGTAACATGCATACAACCTATATACTGATTTCCATTTCATATTTATGAGGCGAGAGCTTTGTAACAGTAAAATAGGGTCACTTCGCTGTGCAACTGGCTGCTGTATATTTAATTAGATTACTGGCTGCCGTAAGCCATTTCATCATTCCTATTGGTCAGAAATTGCAATTGACTGGCTGCCACAATGGTAATCAGATGCGCAATGCGATATGCGTGGCACAAAAAAATTCAATGGAGTGGCTCTACTGTATGTTCTCTATACTGTGGCTTTGTAACATCAAAGCCATATAACCTGAGTTATAACGGCGACAAAAACGTAATCCTATTTTCCATAAGTTGCAAAGAACATGGACAAGCGTATGACTAAATTAACAGGGCGGAAAAATAGCTATTGCAGACAGATTTCATTTAATGCATACATAATTTTTGTGCAGATTCCGTTTTTTAGAGACACACTCGGCCTGAATTTAATTACAGAAATTCAAAAAGGCATGTTGGATGCCCTACCGCTTCATATTCACAAAGGTTGAAGTGAAGCACTTACGATGTAATTTCAAATATCTGATGGCGTCCTTATAACCTTGTTTGCACATTTGACCAAGAACGTGGACGTCAGGAGGAAAGAAGGCTCGAAACAGTCGAGAAAAATTCTGTAGACTAAAACGGATGCTGGTGTTTGAGAACATGAAATGATTAAAACTGTTCGAGTCATCCAGAGGACAGATGTCACTTTCGCCACTCAATGGACTCACTGTTATTGTTTCACCTTGAAAATGTTGAGGTAAATTGTCCGTTATGCCACCATCGAGATGATACTAAATTCAAACGAAAGATATCAATAAAAGAATGGAGATGAGTCAGATGACTCATTGAACCGGCTCGGTCAAATTTTCATGTCCCAGCACAAGCTGCACAACGAAGCAATATTCTTTTTTCTTGTGTCTATATTTGTGTTTATTTGTCATCATTCAGATGTGAGCTGCTTGTGTTTATGCTTATTTTATTCAAGCAAACCAAAGCATAAAGGAGAAATATCATACAAAGCTTACACATGCTTAGGGCAAAATGGTAGTAAATCCTACCAGTTGTTCGTAGACTGCAAGTCCATACTAGTCGCGATTGATGACGCAATTAAAGGACTTTAATCCCTATCAATTTTTTTTGCTCAAAACATGAATAAATGTAAAGGCTATAATATTAAATCTGTTGCATAAATCATAAAATGACTGTTTCTCCTACATTATGTTATGGTTTGAATTGCAGATATGCTTTGGTGAAGGACTTTCCATAACAAACATTTCATTTATTGCACTGAACAGAAAAATACATACCTCTCCTCGAAAGGTTGGTGGTACAATTCCAGAGTAAAATGGGACATGAGCAGATGCTGCTAAAGCCTTAAGAGAAAAAATATTCCATTGTTATAGGCTGAGTCATGAAGTGAGCTTCTCTTCCAAAAAGGTACACTACAAAACTAAGAAATGATGTAAAAAATTTATTGGGAAAAATGTTGAAGATATGGCTTTTCATTTAAATCATGAGGTAAGCCATGAGGGTGAAGATATCCTTTCATAATGGGCACACTGGTTAATATTTTAAGGAGAACAGTCGGTAAAGTTTGAATCTTGGTCGAATGACTTAAATGTTTACCTATTTACTTTACTTTCAGCAATTCCTGGCATATTGCTCTTGTCTGCCCAACAGTCTTGGGATGCTACAACCCCCTTATCCCTCAGCCTAATATGGCCATGCATCTACATTTTATGTTGCAGGAATACTTGCAGCATTCTCTCATTTTGTTTAAAGTCAATGGACCACCTTGGTGAATTTGACCTTAGGTCACACGAGAATAGTTTAATACAGAGAATGGTAAATTGACACCTATTTACTTTTCAAAATGCTCATTGAATTTTTTTTGAAAATTTGTCTTTGTCTCATGAGTTTGAATAATTACAGTTATGAAATGATGGCTTAATTGTTATAAGGTTATGACATATATTACTCAAATTAATTTGTGTTAGCTTAAGGTTGTTGAAGGTGAAAGGGAAGCCACAATACATCAGTCTGTCAACACATGATCTGTCTTATATCAGAGTAAAAAATCTTGCAACAGGCACAGTTCAGATTCTCATTCAATAATCTCCGATATCTAGTCATTAAGGATTCTTCTTCAACAAAGAAATGAAAGAATGTATAGAATAAAGAGCTGCTAAATAAACAACTATTTTGCTCTTGAAACCTCATTTCCTAGTTGCTAAATTTTAGTACAAGACACTGCTAGGTGAAGACAGTCCAAGAGGGATGTACACAATAAATGCATAATGTACAAATGTGTCATAAATCAAGTTAGATACGTAACTATGGCCAACAGTATACATTCTAACGCAGATTAAGCTATAAATGAACTTAATCCCCTTACTGCTTCACATGGAGTCTGAACATTTTTTGAAATGTATGTGCAGCAACTGAGCAACATAAAAGCTCAAGATTGAAATGTAATTGAATTTATTTAATTTTTTTTATGAAGAATTACTGTAAATTAGATGACATTTATTCCTATTGAGATTGCCACAATAACTTTTTAGCTAAGTCTAAAAATAAGGGTTAATAGCATTCAAAAATCTCATCAAGCTCCAACTGGTTGTATTATATGTGGCCTCTTCATTCTTGCAATTAATATACCTTATGGCAAACATTCATTCCTTACTTTTTCCTGATTCCTGAATATTCAAATTTCAAATCTAAACATAACGCAGGGCAATGAGGTCAAATTGAAGAGGAACTTATTCAAGCCAAACCGGCTTTTCGTGTTTTTTTTAGAAATGAAATACGCAATTCGTCGACTAATTGCGATAAATTAGTTTATTGCGACACGCGATGATTTCATGAAAATATGATATGAATATCTTCCTAAAGGGAAATTTTTTGCTCGTTAGAAAGCACTGTACATATTTAGCATACATAAGTGTGTTTTTACTGACAACCGCCATGTTATGATTATAATCAAAATTCGCGCCATGCTTCGTTTCGGTACGGTTCGTTAAAACCGCCAAAGTGGAGAATGTAACACATATATGCATACGATACGCTACGTCGCGTTTTGCTACGTTACGCTACGGTACGGTCGAAGTGGAGATCGGCCTTTAAAAGCAAACATATGATTCAAACGTGTATGATAACGTACATGGAATGTAAACAATTTTGTCGGCGCTCACAACAAGATACTAAAAGACACCATTTTTTTAATCGTTTTGAGTAGGGCTAAGTAAATTCTACTGACTATATTTAAATTTTATCCTTTGTAAAGAAAAACTCAATTCCAAAATGAGTCAGCAAAATCCATTCTTTAAGTTTTAGTTTCAAACGGTCGAACAAAGTATGAATACTTATAAAAATATGACGGCAAATGTTGACAGCTCACACGTCGGAAACCGATTAAAAATATATAATCTGCAAATACACGCTCTCCTGATTTCCCTTTCTAGTAAAGTCGAAAAAAGCACCTGTGAACCCTCGCGTGTCTTGTCTGATCTTATATGTAAACATACTTACATCAATGAGATCGTCGTTTGAATGAAATTCTGAAATTATTACGTTTTGTAGATCACTACAACGAGTCAACGAGACATGAAGTCTTCCTGAACAGATTTTGTAAGCGTCGGCAGGAATAATTCTTTTAAAGGCTCTCCTGAGCGTTTTGTCAGTTGAAAGTTTGGATGAAATGGTCCTGTGGCAAACCTTCGGGAAAATTCTGCCAAACGTAAGGTAAACCGAAGCGAATCAGACAAACTTATGCCACAAAGAAGCGAGCCAGCGGCCAAAGCGCCAGCACTAGCTCCTCCAACATTTTCGACTTGCTCTAGAAATGAAGGAGCTCTGTCTTTAAAAGCCCACACTACTCCGACATGATAAATCCCAAGAAACCCGCAGCCCGAAAATGTTAAATTTAATTTTTTAGGTTCCACAGTCTTTTCCATCGTTTAACCAAAGTTTTTCTTATGCTCACGATGAATTTTACCCTCTGTACGTTATGAGTTATTAGTAATTTATAAAGACGTAGTTGGTGGTTATGACGACTTAACATTTTCCCATGTTGCCCTCATCACGCCTCCTACACACCAACCAACACACACAAGAGTAAAATTGAATCCTATTGGCCATAACTCGTCCTAATTATGCAATTACGTGCACGACACAATCACGACACGCACATGATCGACTGAAGGCATGAGGCAGTTGCATGTGGGCAGTTGCGAGTTATATAATCAAGAATGACGACTTGATTGTTTACATTGCCCTTTGTCGAATATAAAAAAAGATTTGCTTGTATCTGATAATGATGTAACTAATTTTTAACTAGTTCACAAGGAAAAGTGGAATGGAAATTGAAAACGGCAGCGTTCATTGTTCGAAAAGTATCAGAGCAGTCACTGATTTTGACATCTAGTTGTTTAGCTGAAAGTGGGAGTTGACATAATATGTGCGTGTTGCGTCTTAGCCTTGTATTACCCCCTGCGAGACCCCCAGCATGCATGCCTTCAAGAAATAATGCCTTCAAGAATCATTTTATTGAAGGCGAGTAAAATGACGTTCAACTCTTAACTTGTTACATGTTTAATGATGTCTGGCAAACTAAATGCACTTTGTGTGTACAAATGCAAACGGTTGATATTTTTATACTATCTAGATGTCAACAATAGGAATGGTCCGTTTTGTTGAACAAAACATTAATTCAGAATACGATTTAGCAAAATGAAAATCAAGCTTCTTGATATTACAGAAAACAGAGTATGGTAAATAATGTGACGTCAGGATGAACGTAGCTGAGCTACTAAGTTTGGCCTCGCTGTTAGAGTAATCATTTCGGCAGGCTATGCTTATTTAGCAAAAAATTAGAATGCAAAGCTCTGGTGTAAAGTTCATTTAACATGCAACTATTATTATCTTTTAGTATTTAGAAATGAGCAAATACTAGGACGCATAAACAAACTTGCAAACTTTCTAAACATGGCTTTATATTTTTCCAAAAATTTTTGAACTTCGATGATTTCCATAAACACGTTCAGTGGGCAACACTCCAAACAAATAAAAGTCGTTGAGCGGAGAGTGGACAGCAATATATATTTTGTGACAGTTGCTATTATTTACACTATTGTTTGTTGTTGGACATTGTACAATTCTAATTTTCTTTAAAATGAACCAATAGCTACATGCAATTCTCACAAATTTACAAAATTTACAGTTTATGTATAATTATAAAATATCTAATCAATAAAAATAATTTGCCCTTTGTTATCTTTGACTGCAATAATTAACTGACAATATCGACCGTCGATTCGAAAATTAAACTATTTCGGTGTCATAAATTCTGGGTTAAAAAAACGTAGCGAAACGTTCGCAAAGCAGCAAATGTTTTGTAGTCCGCAAATGATCGCGTGTGAAATTGCCAAGTGACATCACATCGTGAGATATGACACGCTATTAGGTTTCAAGGATAACTGTGAATGCAAAAATTGAAATTTCACTCAAGTGTTCATCTAAGCAATTAAATTGACTATTTGATGTACAGTGCTCGGGGCCTTTTTGAAACTAGAATTGTCAGTTAACCATGTTAATTTTAGTTGCCAGTGCATGTTTTCGCATATATTTTGAATATATTTTCTGCATCTTTGTTCCACCTTCTATTACTGGAGACGATCGAAGGTGAAGGAAATTTACTTTCTTGCATTTGAAGACCAACTTGCTCACAGCAAAAGATTCCGTCGTATAGAGTATCGCAACTCGTCGATCTCAAAGTCTCAAAATCATCTTCGGATTCCGTACTAATAGACAAAGACACACACGTGACAAATGACGACTCGCTTCGGGCGGTTTCGTAATCTTCGGAATCCAAATCTTCACTTCGCTGAATTTTGAATTCAGATATGCTTGCTCTGTACACTTGAGATTCGCGGTAGAAACTATAGAAATGGAAACAATGAATGACATCTTAACATAATTCAGTCACTATAGTTTTTAGTAGATTAGTATAACCATGAAATTTAAATAAAATGTTATTTTGACCATGGCATATGTTTCGGAAGTTTAGTTAAAATTAGAATACAATCCAATTTCACTCTCAAAAAGGTTACATCGACCATTTTACAACGTGAATTGCTTCATTATAAACATAAAAAAACAAGAATCGTTTTGGTCGGTCCTCACTGAAAATATTTTCACGAGGTCTGCGAAGCGCCCCTTGGCCTTCGCCCTCTGGCTGCTTTTGAGACTTTGTGAAAATGTTTTTTCAGAGCAGTCTTCGCGTTCGGTAAACGACATATATATCTTCAAAATTTTCAATGAGTCATCATTTTTTAGAACTTATAAGTGATATATATAATGTTGTACCTCTGAGAGCATGAGCTGGTACTTTGATCACTTTTGTAGAGAACAATTGCATCATTGATAGTATGAAGTAGAATATCGAGGAAGGTCACCCCAGTCGAAAGTTTGGGTAGCCTTAAAATAATGCTGAAACGAACAATATGGACACAGTATTAGATGAGGAAGAAAACGATATGGATACGTTAACCAAATTTACTTTTTGACCCAGTAAAGAACTCCAAGTACAAAAAAAAACGCAAGAAAATTAGGTCCTTTTCATATTCCTCGCACATACTCTTTGCTGATGATGTAGGCAAAACAGAGAAAGGTATAGTTTTCGTCATTTACTACTTATAATATACAAAAGACGGGAGAATTTCATGACTAACCTCTCAGCAAAGTCTGAAACCTTTAGTATAGTCATGACACACGGTTTGACTACAGCATTGTAAAATAGTCTGGTAATAAAACACGACAACTCTTTCTCGGCAAGAAGGATTTCAACCTTGGCCTGTTCAAGAACTGAAAAAAATTTCTTTTTTATACACACACACATCACATAAAAAGTAATGGGAAATAGCAACAATTGAAGGTAGTAGACAGTAGGTAAATCTTTACGTAAGTATTTTGCTAAAAAAATTTTATAAATTAAAATCAACAAATATATACGATATTGAAATGACATCAATTTATCAAACAGAAAAGCAAAGTTCGCTCAAGGTCCGCGAACACGATCCCGATTGTGGGTGGCAACGGTTTCTTGTTCAGAAGGTCCGATATTTTTCTTGGCAATAAATCCAAAATCATTCATGTCGGACGAGAGTCTATAGTCGTGGGAGCAACAATTTGTGTTATCCAGTACATTTATCGATATGTTTTGCGTATTTTTGTTCATGTTTCCAAGTCTTTTTAAAATCTAAATTTTCGCGTCAAATCAAATTTTGAAGAACGGCGAGCGAGAAGTCTGGGGTTGGTCGGCATTCTATTATTCATGCATACAGATTATAGATAAAAATAAAGCAAGTTATATTTCCACTCGATTTTTCAGACCGACGATCCGACTGTCGCAGGCTCACTTTATATGCGTTCACGCGGTCCGTTTTTTAGGATCCAACAAATCGGATCATGTGAACGGACCTTAAGAATAACGCACGTGAGAGTTCTGAAAACCAATTCCAATGAGAAAAAATTTTGTACAAGTTGCTAATATAGCAAAAAATAACGTTTCTGTGTTATTTACGTTAACGTTATTATAGGGGCCGGTTGCACGAAGCCTGAATAGAGTTATCCATTGGATAGCAATTTTCTTTAAACTTTTATAAAACCTTTTAAAAAGCAAAAAATATAAGATTGGATATGAGCAATCACTGAAATAGAATATTGTTTCGAAGATTACGAAATTTCTTGGTCGTAAGAAAAATATTAACACCTTTTCTGCAAGTATGAAAGTTTTTGCTATTCCATGGATAACGCTATCCATAGGCCGTGGACCAATGTGCTCAAAAACACAACTTTCACTGCACACCTCTCACAACTTCAAATGTAACCAAACTATTGTTTGAAAATGCAACCAAACAATTCACAATCAACAATTATATTTGAAACTAATAAGTTAAAAGTGAAAACACGAACTTACAATGGTCTAGTTTGCAGTCTCCGCATCGTTCCACAACATCCTGTGATACATATTCTTTTTTTGCCACTTTTGTTATGACGGGAAGTTTTTCATTGGCGATGACGTCAAGCGAATTTTCTCCATCTACTTCCGTTGAATTGCAATCGCAGAAATTAGTCATCTTCTGCACGGAACACTTCCTCTTTCTTAGGAATTCGGGATCTAAAACAATTACATCCATAATTGGAAAGGTGTAAGAAATTGTAATTTGCTTACGACGTCCATAGTTCTTGTGACGAAGGGAAGTGACTGGGGGGAGGTATTGGGAAAATTACAAAAAAATAGTGCTTAATTGTACTAGCAGTACGACCATGGAAGGGTGTATCGAGATACTTACGATGTAATTTCAAATATCTGATGGCGTCGTTATAACCTTGCTTGCACATTTTACCAAGATCATGGACGTCAGGAGGAAAGAAGGCTCGAAACATTCGAGAAAAATTCTGTTGGCTAAAACGGATGCTGGTGTTCGTGAACATGAAATGATTAAAACTGTTCGAGTCATCAAGAGGACAGATGTCACTTTCGCCGCTCCAAGGAGTCACTGTTATTGTTTCACCGTGAAAATGTTGAGGTAAATTGTCCGTTATGCCACCGTCCATGTGATACTGAATAAAAAATACGCGACAGACGTTAAGGCTACAGTAAATTATATAAAAGAACAGTTGATTTGTATAGTGGTCGGCAAATTATGATGTAATAAGAAATGCCTACAATTCCATACAGACTAGCTTTTTTTAGGTTCTGCGCATTTGAAAACAGTTCTAAGCAGGAACATCTGGTTGTACTGGGTGGACGTGTGTAAACCTTATAAACCTTTCCTACAAAAATTTGAGAGCACTGGGCGTGGCCAATCAAACAGCACAACTCTGAAAATCTCTTCTGTTTAGGAATATGAAATTCCCCCAATAAATACATCAGCACATATAAGTACAGCATGCTGCAAATTTTGAAATGGACATCCTTTATAAATAAAGAAATTGATGCAAACAAACGTTGATTTGCAGAAAAGGTCAGTGTCGGGAGGGGGGTACGGACAACAACTTTACTCAAAGTCCCAACTCTGACGCCACCCTATAATCTTTAATGAAATTGTTACTTAATCATTATTTAGAAAAGAATAATGATAAAGCTTTAAAAGCTTCAAAGTCAGAGCTGAGCAATATAGGGGTGAGCTGTGATAGTGGGGTGCATGTTATCTTGGATGATTCTTAATTCAAGAAGCTGCAAAATTCCATTTCCTAGACTTTGGGGAATAAAATAATGCTAACTGTATCATTTTAAATGCAGTTTTCTCACACAAATTCAAAATTTGACACTTCGAAAAGATCAACTGCTGAGGAGGCCATAGCCTTCACCCCCCATCCTTAAAGTAACAACCTGCTAATTCTTACCTCTCCTCGGACGATTGGTGGTATGATTCCTGAGTAAAATGGGATATGGGCAGATGCTGCTATAGCCTAAAAATGTAGAAACCAATAAATAAATACATATTGCTGGGCTAAAAGTCTGCAACATTAACATAACGAAGTTATTTTGGACTACAAGAAACATTCAGAAATTACTAGTAGTATGTTACGCTCATATATGATGGATAGGATTTTTTGGTGTAGCATAAATATATAAGTAGATAAAAGAAAACCAAAATAGGTACAGGTAACATGAGCAATCAACAACATTGGCATTCGGGACAAATGTTCTTTGGAAAATTTTGAAATTATTTGTGGCAAATAACATGTGTGCAAAAATTTATCTTGTGACACAAAGTAATAAGCATGTAATTGTCTGGCAAAAAAATTATTCAAACACAAAACAAAAGATAGTATAATGTATCAGCCCCTTAGCTTGCCAAGCAGGTGACAGGTCAGATACTTGGTTCGGTGGCTCCCTATAGTCAAGTTGCATATACAACAACTTTCCATACACTGTCTTCAAAGTGCACAATGCCATAAAATAGCAAATGTAAGATTGAATTGAATCAAGTGTTGAATAATTGAAATAAGACATTATATTTTATATGTCATATTGCTGTATTAGTTTCGATTTAATTAATATTGAAAGCAACAAACTGACTTTCTATAAATAACTTCCAATGGAAATAGGAACTATTTTGTGTGCTGGTCACTTGAGTAGATAATTACCCTATTCAGCAAGCAGTCCCGAGAAAAGTCTTATGATATAAATAAACACATCCTATGGCAGTTATTATGTAACTTATCTCACATTGAAATCATACAACTTCATAAGTGATAAAAATGTCAAATCAGACCCACTATTAGCACACCTTGATTAATAATTGCAGCATGGTACTACATTTCATAATTTGTTAGCAAAAGAATCAAATGAAGTTTCTAAGAAATATTTGTAAAGAAGTATCTTGCCCTTATTGACCTCATTTCCCAATTGACTGTCAATGATAATTGACAATGCCAGGTAATTACAGTCACAAGTTGGTCTTTACTGCATTCCAACTGTAGGGGGTTAAATTGGAAAACAATTGATAGGATAGATAAAAGAAGCGATATCCACCAATAGCTTTGTTTGCTATGTCTGCTTTACCAGTCAAATTTTAATCATAAGATAAGATCAATACATCTGCAGCCACACTAAACTGGCATAGATGAAGATTTTATACTTCTATCCAAAGCACATGGCTATATCTCAATAACCTTATCAAAATATTTTTGTAATTCGACTACCTTATGACACATTATACTTCAATTTTCTGGTATTTTCAACTCAATCAAATGATATTTGAGACTTTACTTGCTTGTTTATAATCAAGTTATATGGAATATTTGTGTGCTGTATATCAATATTTCAACTCATAGCAATGATTGAATATCTTTCCTGAACTTATATAAAATGCATTTTTGTCAACAACGTTGGGTACAATTCGTTAAATTGAATTTGAAATAATTTTTCAACCGGTAATAAAGCGCGAAACAGACGTGCGACAATGCCTTAAAATATGTATTATTACTAAAAGTTATTCATAAATTTCTCGACATTGTGGAGGAAAATAGTAATTATACGGAAACACCAAATTAGGGACACTTTTAATAACAAAAAAAAAAGATTTTCTCTCAAAAATGTTCATTGGGTTTTTCGTGGATGGCAAAAAAGCAACTCATTTCGCTCAACAGTTTAGTGTAAAGACATTTATTAGACCATCTTAGATTCATGTTCTCGTTTGGAGTAAATAATATCGTCACATGATTTCTGCTTTGAAAATGTACATCGAAAAATCTACGTAGAAAAGTTCGAGCTTCTCGATAATTTTTTTAAATCTCCGAAATAAATGAGAATTTAATCGAGGTAAGCTGATGTTATCTGCTAGAAAACGTTTTGTGTAGTGATATTAGTATGCATTATGTGAAATATATACAAGACGAGTTTCAACTTTTATTTTTTGATCTTTTTGCTTACGTGTGAAAGTCTTTGAGTAGTAAAACAACCTTCGTAACTAAAAGTCACATTTCTTGTCTGATCATATATGTAAACATACTTACATCAACGAGATCGTCGTTTGAATGAAATTCTGAAATAATTACGTTTTGTAGATCACTACAACGAGTCAACGAGACGTGAAGTCTTCCTGAACAGATTTTGTAAGCGTCGGCAGGAATAATTCTTTTATAGGCTCTCCTGAGCGTTTTTGTTAGTTGAAAGTTGGGATGGAATGGTCCTGTGGCAAACCTTCGAGCAAATTCTGCCAAACGTAAGGTAAACCGAAGCGAATCAGACAAACTTATGCCACAAAGAAGCGAGCCGGCGGCCAAAGCGCCAGCACTCGCTCCCCCGACATTGTTGACTTTCGCCAGAAATTCTGGAGCTCTGTCTTTAAAGGCCCACACAACTCCGACATGATAAATCCCAAGAAATCCACAGCCCGAAAATGTTAAGTTAAGACTCTTAGATTCTCCCCCATTCATCGTGCAAGAACGAGCAAACGTGAACGACGTTATGGCGATTTGTGTTTACTGTAGGCCTGCATCACGCCCCCCAACACACACGTTCATTTGAAGTAACTCTTAATCCTATTGGTCGACTGATCGACATGCTTAATTATGCAATTCACACGAGACGCACACGATAGACGCGTAATCTCATCCACAAGTTTCAACAAAGTTGCGTTGTAAGGTTAATTTTGAGACCTTGACCAACCTGAGCGTATTATATTGCACAGTTTTGAAGTGCCGAATTTGACTGAACGATATGACGGACTGTGCATGCGGAATCTAGGTTAATAGTATAAAACTTCAGGTATAACTTGTGCTTTAAGCAATGGCGTTGCCACTTGCAGCCGTCAGTTTTTGCGCACTATGTAAATTTCACATCATTACCTTTTTTTATTTCTTTAGAAATCTATTGCATTTGCAGTAAGCGAACACTGCCATTTTATTTCAATAGCACTACGAAACTAGCGGAATCTACTGTCTACTAGTATTAAAATTCTTTGCCACTGGCCTTATGGAATAACCTCAAACTCTGCTGTCTAATAAGTAAGTAAAAACACTTTTCAAGCAAAAACACTTTTCAACGGGCTGAAAATTATAAATTAAAAACAATGACTTTCTAAATTTCAAATGGAGTAGATTTTTTTCATGTGCAGTAGATCACGTGCTTTAACTGCTCAAATGCGACATTCGGCAATATTCAAATACAAGGTAGCATACTTGATGTACCAAAATTGAACAGTTTGTTCAAAGAAGGCTGAGCCTTGAAGTTCTTGGATTCGAGGAATATCCTGAATTCCGCAACTCCGATTCACCGTTTAACCTTAAACCGTTCACAAAAGTTACGCATACTAAAGGTGAGTGATGACAATCTATTGCTGTTTAGAATTCCAGAGACAGTGCTCATAAATGTCGTTCATGGTGACAAAACATTTGCCAAATGAATTTTACGCGATAATTGTAGACTAGAATGTAGGTGCATGACTCTTGAACTACATATGTTAATGGTAGGAGAAAAATAATTTACAGAAGTCTCTTGTATTGAATTTTCATTTGTAGGGAGGCACACTCTATATCCAAGTATCATTTATCAATATTGTTGCCAATGAAGTGCCAGGCGGGAAACGGATTCTCAAAATAAATATTAGAGCCCAACAAATAATTTTGAACATAGTCATAAACAATTTGGTTTTATGAAATTTATGAAACGTTTCGTCTTCACTCAAGACATCTTCAGGGTAATAAGGAAGTTAACAAGAATTATAGATATGTATAGAGTTATTTACGTAGATTGAGGTATCAGATTACTGTGGCTGTGTAAGTGTGATGTGATGTATTGTTAGGGTAAAGTGTTGAGACTAGAAAAGCTTAAAGGACACATGCAAGCTAGAAGATAACTTTATTTATTTTAATGCCTATAGCGTGAAAATAAGACGTACCAAGTTTCAAAGTCATCCGCAAAATATTTCAAAAGATATTTAGGGTTATAATCGGTAAAAACACGATATTCGATGACCATTGCTAAAACGCCGTGAGATTGTTTAAGTCTGGGAACTGGGAAAGAGTGACGTATTACTTGACATAAACAAGCATCGTTATTATATCGTTCTACGACTTGCACGGCTTTCGCGGTAGTTTGCTATTACTGTTTTTTATTTATCAAAAATTAATGGATTCTTCTGAAGAAGAAGCCGATTATAATATTGTCATCAATAACAATGAGGTACAACCTTACATGTTTGAGCCTTTGGCTAACGCGCAAGGTGGTCAAAATGATGACAATTCTTCGTCATCGGAAAGCAAAGATGAATACATTCACAGAATTGGAAATGTTGAATGGTTAGTTGCATTTTATTCATTAAAGCGAGATTTATGTTGCTCAGTGGCTTCAGCTTTGCTGATTTTTGATTTGTGGCGAGTCAATGGGACAGGTATTTCTTTCCCTCCAGCGACATCAAGAGCTTTGGACAGTGTTGGATTAATGCGTCTGCAGTCCAAAACTTCTTTCATCAAGTCCTTAACATATCTTGAAAAGCAAATCATTATTTATGTTGGCTTTGCATTGCACTTTGAAAAAAGGTAAGTTTATTTTTCTGTGCTAACCATAAGTGCTGTCAACTTTCACTGGTTTGATGACCCCTTGTCCTTCTTTTGACTTTGAATAAGCCACTCTCCAAATCAATGCCTCTTCTGTTTCCACACCATTCTTCGTTTTCTGAGCTTTATTTCCATTCTCATTGAAATGAAGAGCGGCAATAAATAATCTACAAATGAATGTTAAGTTTATGTTTACAACTATTGCAACCTATTGCTTTTGCAATAATGACTTTTTTTAAGTAATCACACACAAGTCATAATTATAATACCTTAATTCCATTGATCTGTAGAAAAAATGGGTATGTTTTGGTGCAAAAAGAATCACCACTCGGTGGAAACCTTCGATGGACGAAGTCTGCTTCTGATAACTGAGTTTTCCAATATCTCTCATGAGATACTTGGACTCAACAATCGAAGACAGCTCAACATAAGCTTTTGAACCTAAGATCAGAAGTTTGTTAACAAAAAGAAAGAATGTTGATGTTACTTTGAAATTTATGCAGCCAGTAAATTGCATTTTTTTACCAATAGGCAAACGGTGCAACCCTCTCGAGCAGGTGCACCCTAGACCTTTGGTCTTGGGCTTGCACTGATCTGCTCTCGAATTCTCCAAAAGGTCTCCTCGGTTTGTATAAGCCTGCGCAAACACAGTAAACATCTTTAATTTTTTAAATGAAGCAAATTAATTAGCTCTTATCACCTTTCTAATATCGTGATTTTTCCTGAAATGTTAATGCATTAGTCATTGTCATTGTTCCAATGTATAGTAGAAAATGCTCTGTGTTTTAAGTCTTTTAGGGAATGACTTCTTATACGACACTCTGCACTTCATGTTCTTTTATGCCAAAGGATGTCGGCAACTAGGCAAGCGTCAAAGAAAATATTCAAAAAAACAATCAGGAAATTTAAGAAGTTTAATCCTATTAAACATTGCGATGTATCATCATCCGACTTTTCACATCTACATTTCAAGGATAATCATGATTGAATTCATAGATAAAATTATAATATATTAAGCAATTTTCAAATAAACGCGTGCTCCATTGAAACCATTGCATAGACTTAGTGGGTGAAACATGTTTCATTAACACTTTCTGCCACAGTGCATTATATAAATGATAATTGGATTCTCAAAATAAATATTAGAGCCCAGCAAATAATTTTGAACATAGTCATAAACAATTGGTTTTATGAAATTTATTAAAATACTGATGTTTTGTCTTGACTCAAGACATCTTTAGACTAATATGAAAGTTAACAAGAATTATAGATATACAGAGAGTTATTTACATAGTTTGAGGTATCAGATTACTGTGGCTGTGTAAGTGTGATGTGATGTATTGTTAGGGTGAGGTGTTGAGACTAGAAAAGCTTAAGAGGATGGAGCTGCCTTGGGTGTTAAGTGAAGGTTTTAGTTTGGAGATGAGGAGGCTTTCGTGTATCATGAGGTCGAATGTGTCGGAGCAGGATGAGATGATTTTAAAATCGTCCGGCGAAGCAGGGTGTTGGAGGAGTTGCTATGGGAAAGAATACTTGACATTAATGTCTTACTATAGCGTTTTCCAGACAAAGGAGAGATCCCCAAGTGTTCCGAGATTCTGGTGTGTAAGTGGCGTGTGGTTTGACCCACATACGACGCGGAACACTTCATCGAAACGTGTATAAATAAACAGCTTTATAACTTTCACAGCTTCATCCCACTTTCTTACAAACACAACTTAATCTTTGGCCTATTACACCGCTTTTTCAACCTCTGCTCTAGTTATGAGACTTTTCATGCCCAAATTGAAACCCCAGAAAACTATTCAAACTCAATTGCTATCCAACTAATATGTTCGACCACATTGTCCGTCGTTTCCTTGACACAAAATTCGAAGAGAAACCACCTGTCCTTAGTGTCCCAAAGAATATAGTGTATTTCTGTCTCCCATTCACCGGCTGTCACTTCTACAAATTAGCACACAACCAATCGTCTCTACAACGCTGCTTTCCCTCATCTCAATGTCAGATTCGTCTTCGTACCTCCACACGAATCTCTTCATTTTTTCCCGTTAAGGACAAAATTCCCAAGTCTTTGAGATCTAGTGTTGTTTATTTATACACGTGTCGATGCTGTTTCGCGTCGTATGTGGGTCAAACCACACGCCACTTACACACCAGAATCTCGGAACATTGGGGATCTCTATTTGACTGGAAAACGCTATACTAACCCATTAATGTCAAGTATTCTTTCTCACAGTAACTCCTCCAACCACCCTGCTTCACCAGACGACTTTAAAATCATCTAATCCTGCTCCGACACATTCGACCTCATGATCCACGAAAGCCTCCTCATCTCCAAACTAAAACCTTCACTTAACACCCAAGGTAGCTCAATCTCGCTTAAAGGACACATGCAACATGAAACTCGGATTGTTATTTTTGTACTTTACATAAAGGTATAGCTCCAACTAATAGTTCACCAAAGTATGAGACTCAAAGGATAAATAATTTCGAAGATATGGAGGTTCAAAGTTGATGCTTTACTGATAACGTATTGAAAATGCCCGACGAGCTAACGACGGCTACCGATTGGAAAAAGGTCGTTGTGAAGTAATAGTTGACATTAGCTAAACGCGGTCAATTGCGCGCTTCGTTCAAAATATATTGGTAACTTCTTAACAACACGACAATTTAGCATTGAAAATATGGTTTATGGTGCTGCATTTAATTGTAAAAGCGGTTCTTCTAAGAACCACAAACGCAGCAAAAGGTTTCTTTTTTTTCGTTTCCCGAAAACAAGCCATGCGAGATATTTGGATTGAAAAAATACGACGCAAAAATTGGAAGCCAACAAAGAGCTCAAAATTGTGCTCGCAACATTTCGAGAGTTCGTGCTTCGTGCAAAATTTTGAAACGATTTTTGCTTGAGTTTTGTAGCAGAGCAAATAACAGTATCTTCATAGCGTATGTCATGGCTTTGTTAAAACTTGGCAAATTCCAAGCACATTTGTGGTCGGTACTAGAAAGCTTTCTAGGTATTCTATTAAACATTTCAACGTAGGACTGAGTTGAAGTACGTTGCTCTTCCATTGCCAATGGGAGAGCAGCTTTCCCGTAAACTTGGCAGCTCACTTTTTGACAATGGCGAACTTTTCCCAAAATAACAAGTTTACTTGCAATTACATGTCCTTCACACTTTCGATGAAACCAGAAACCATCTGGTAATAAATTTGAAGGCTCAAGGAAACTTTAAATTGCTCTTTGGTGTGATAACTGGTTTCCAGAACTAAATGTGACACGAAGTCAATCGACTCAATTGGAGGAAGGCATTCAGATTTCAGTGTGGGATTTTTCCCAGAGAATGCAAACGGTTCCATTCCAATGCATGATATCTCCTTTAAGTATCTCACATTAACAATTTAGTCAAGAAAATTGGTGTAATCCGATGATTTCAGTGTTTTTTTGTCCTCTGAACACATCGTCATCAACATAAACAATGAAAGGCTGCTATTATAAAAAGCGCTGATTTGGAACCCAATTATGGAGGTGCATAAATCACGAACAAGCAGTGACGTCACGTGAAAATGCTCTATCCGTAGAAGTTATTAGAGAGCTTTAGCAAGAGTACTAGTGCGACTACGAGTCCTACGAGTACGAAGTTTAACCGTGTAAGGGAATACCACGAGGAAGTTCGTACTCTAAAATTTATTTCTCCCCCCTGAAATAGTGCATATTTTCTTGGTGATCGATGTTTGTTTTTACTTTTGGCAACGGGAATTCCGTCAAATAATTTTATTTTTTTGTCATTTTTTGCACAATTTTTCTGCATTGTACCATGCTTAGCTTATACCTAGCGCGATATTCACGTGGAAAAACTTAATCGACAAGAATCGAGGTTGATCCGACAAACCACTATCAGACGAAAAATGTCGAAAAATAGATAAAATCATTTATTTGAGTATTTTCAGTATTATGCACATCTTTTTTATAAATACATCTTTTACGTGCATCATCAATGTCTTTTTACGTTTAAAAAATATTCGTTGGGTCTTTTTAATAGAAGATACATATTTCAGTGGCCCAGTGTTTATTTCATTTTTGGTTTTATATTTTAATGTTGCGCATCAAGCTTATTCGTGATATGCGATGTGCTTATTTTCTTTTCCTTTTTATTTAGACAAAAATAGGACATAGTTTACATGAAATATGTTATTTGTATTTACACATGACATAAAAAAGCTTTTTAAATAGTTTTTTTGTGAGAATCTTTACTTTTCCTATGACACAATGAGCTGTATATGTACTTGCAATGTTTGTGTTTTCGTGACATGAAAAATGCTTCTTAAAAAATACATTTTTCTCTTTATTAAATGATTCAAATTTTGGGAACTTTATTAAATTTTGGAAAATTTAACCGGGAACTACAATATTTTGGATGTAGAAACAGGTAGGCATATCTAGATATTCTTATAACTCAGAAAAAGCGAATATTTTCGCGCGGTTTTTTCTCAACTTTTGTTTTGTCAGATAATATTTCAGAAACTAAAAGACCTTTGTTCAATGTAGTTACTTGAGTGAAAAATATGATGCCTCTACTATAGTAAAAGCTAAAGATTGAAGGTATTAAACAAACAGAAATGGGCGAAATTTATCGTTATAAAAAGTAATTTCTTATGAGAAACTAAGGTTACAAAGGACTGGCATTACCTACAAAACACGGCTTCAATTTCCACTCCTGAGTTAGATTTATAGTATATTTATAATTCAATGCCGTGAACTCTATTAAAAGACTGGAACGATAACTCTAATATAAAAGCCAAACGATAAAATGAAGCCAATATAGCGGCTATAGAATGGTTCTTTGTAGGAAAAACACTCGTGCTGTGTGCTTGGATTGTCACGAACATAGAAAACACAAACCTACTTGTCAATGTTTTCACAATATGTTGTGTGAGTTTTACCTTTAAAAAAATTGAATATGTCTTGTTTTTCAAATTTAGGATTGTTATATAAAAGAATTTTTGACAACCCATTCATTTTTCTGAAATTTAAACAGTGACAAACTGATTACAGCAACGAGCAGTCAGTTGAAGATGTTGATGGTTATTGTTTTCAGTCGGCAGAATGTTTACTTGAATCGAGAGCTTTAGTTTTCTGTCAATACTGATTTTTTCTGACATATAACATACTAAAAAGATCAAAATTAGTGAACAGGTAAGACATACTTAAAAAGAAAATTTCATTGTTTGTTTTTTATCAAATTCATCGTAGACAATAAGAAAAACACTACGGCCTTGTTTTTTCACCGAACTTGCCTTCTTTCATCCGAAACTTCCCCATTCATCAAAGAGTGTCCAAAATTTGCATGTTCTTAAAAAGCTATCAGCTATTTTTGATTTTGGTGAAATGCGGCTTGATTTAGCTCAACAAACAAAAGAACATAACCTCTTAAAATTGTTCATTGTTTTTCATTCGGAAAATGAACAAGACCGCGCGTTTGTACGATATCCAGGAGCCTGGATCATACCTCCGAAACCGCGCAAGGGCCTGGATCGTACCTACAAGAAAGCATCATGCCTGGCTTCAAAGATGGCGGCGTAGTTATCGTTACAGTTATTTATAGAGTTCACCTTTTGACGACCTAGTCCAGGCCCCTTTTCCCTTCCAGGTCTTATATAACTCAATGGTTATGACGCACGCTATCATGCTCTCTTTGATTATCGTTATCAAAGCTCATTCTGACGACACTTTTAGATAGCCATATTTACACAACAAAGTAATCTATGTTTAATTAAGGTTAAAATCAATGAGTTATTTTCTAAAACGGCTTATATCACTCTTTGCGAGATGCCAAAGTTTTAATAATACACTGCAGACGTAGCATTTATGCATGTTAACTAAACGATATATTACCATCACTTCAGAATAATTGAGACATTTTGATTAGCTAAGACCTGCATGTGAAATGCTCATGCCAAAAAGAACGTTGCGACGTTTAATTTTTCTCTTCTCTTCTTAATTTTAAGCATACTATTAAATCTGCATTTTTCTCAAAAATATCCGCAAATATTCCCTGAAATTACTGTGTCTTGACTTTTGACTCTTAAGCCAATTTTTGAAAACTATAAAGA